ACTGATGCCTGGGGCTGGGCCCGGAGCAATGTTCCAGAATCATTGGTGTGGGAGTGGGACCCTACGTAGCCCCGTCCTCGCCCTCCTCCTCCTCATCGCGTGCCTGGCTGTGCCGCAGCAGGGCGAGGTGTAATCACAGCCGCGCGGGGCTAATTACAGGGCTGCAGGGGATGGGGTGCGGCGGGGTACCTGGCGCTGGTGGCACTGAGGTGCCTGGTGGCAGCAGGGTTCCTGCAGAGGGGTCCCGGCACGCCGATGAGTGTCACCAATGATGCGCCAGATGCTGCACTGCTTCCTCGCTTCCTCCGGTCTCTACCTTGCTCTCTCCAGCATCTGCAATCTCTCTAATGGACTTGCTGGAACAAATTGCAGCAGGAAGGGCCGTAATGCGCTGTGGGCCACGCTGCGATGCGGCTGCTGGTCGCTCAGAGGGTATTAATCATGGAGCAGCGACGTGGCATTGCTGGACAGGGAGCTGCCTTTGCCTGCATGGGGAGCAGCTGCTTCCTGTGCTCATCCCTCATCCCCTTCACTGGTGTATGGGGGGAGACAGAGCCAGGCATCGCGGGGTCTCCCCAGGGACTGGGGTATGACTGGAGCGGGGAGGAGCTGAGAAGCAGCAGTCAGCAGAGGCTGAAGTGTCCTCCTCTATCTCCTGCCCTGCCTGGCTGAGCGCTCCCATCACCCGGAGTGACACCAGCTATTCCAGGGGTGACACCAGGGTTTGGGACAGCCCCATGGCTGCTTCCATCCCTGCCACATTTCACCCCGAGATCTCCAGTCCCATGTTTCCCGAGTAGCTCCAGGCCATCCTCCCTCCCAGGCCAGGAATCCGTCTTGTTGCCTTGCTTATCCCCATTAGTCACACGTCCCTCTCCAGGGATCCCAATTTAGCTCCTGTTGTCACTCCAAATCTCCCAGTCACCTCCCACAGCTGCCAGCACCACCACGTCAGCTCTGGGGAGCGCAGAGCCCTCCTATCTGCCAAGCGACCTGGGGACACTGCCCCATGTCTGCACCGTGCTCAGAACCTTCCCAGGTGCACATCTCAGCTGCCAGCAGGACTTGGTGGCTGGTATTATCAGGGGACACAGAGCATCCCTATTGCCCCCAAATTGGTGTGAGATCTACTACTGGCTTGGGCTGTCTGTGAGCTGAGGATGACCCAAATCGCACGGCAAAGGGCAGCGAAAGCCTGACCCAGCTGGCAGGAATCTGAGCTCACAGCAGTTCAGCTTCAGCCCGTGCCGCAAGGACCTCATCCCCTGCAGCTGAGAGCGCAAGCACATGCCCTGCTGCACCCAGCAGCTGAAACAACCCAAAATATCCCACTGCACCAAGCCCCATCCAAAAGGAACACGAGAAGCCAGGCTGCGATGTGAACCAGATATCATCTGAACTTTTATTGGAACCCTTTTCTAAACAAGCTAACAACTCAAATACCCCAGGAAGACTAAGGAATACAGTATGCATTTCCATGGAGAGCAAAGGTAGTTTTACAGTGAAGTCGAATGAACAGATGTGCCGGTATGATTTGGTAAGGAATTGACCAGCAGAGAAAACAGGGACATGGTTTCCCTGGCAGCTTTTCTCCTGTCTGGGCTTTTGTTCTAAATCTCTCCATTCCCTGGATGGGGCTCAAGGTGCTGTTCTCTACAACAGTCCAAAATTTAGGCTGCTTTACCGCGGATTTGTTGCTACAACAGTGGATGTTGCAGTGCTTCAGAGACCTTCCTGGTCACATACAGACTTCCAGGTAGCTGCAAAAGTCACAGGATTTGCTCATCCTCTATCACACAGATAACACAACCCTGCTGGACATTAAAGACTTCAGTCTGGCACCTAAAATTATCCCTTTCTCAAATATCCCATGGACCCAACGGTGAGACCCGAACAGCTTTCCTAAGTAATGCTCAATAAATAAGAGAAATAAATATTAAATAAGAGGCCAAGTCCTCTCAGCCTTTTCAATCTATGTACAATGCATAGCAAAATAACATCGATTGGCCATTGCAGATAGGTTTGGTACAACTTCAGTCGCCCAAAACAACAGAAACATTGAGAAAAGTTACGGTCAACATAAAGCAGAGCACAGCTGAGCGCCCCAACCCGCGACAAAATGGAATGACACAACAGTGCATTGAAATATCCTTCCTCTGCACTTTGCAGCAAAACTTCAGGGGCTGGGCTGGGTTTGCTGGAGCCTGACCTGGTGTGTGGGGTGGGAAAGGAGGGGTTGAGTGAGCAGGGAGCATCCCAGGGGGATCCTGCGTCATGTGCTCTGCTGTGGAAAGGCAACCAGGGCACTTGGGATGGAAACAACACAAGGGGCAGGAAGGATGAGGAAAGAAAACCCTCTGAGATGGCACTTCTGAGAGGCGGCCAACGCATTGCCCCAAAGCTCTTGGTGAGGACCTGGACAGCCCCAGTGCCAATGAGCAGCGGTTTGTGTTCACCCAAAGGGCCGAGCTGCCCCAGGGTGGAAGCTGCTCCATGCAAACAACAGCAACCTGAGATGCTGGTCACAGAGCAAAAATCCCATAAAAGCAACGAGTGAGTGAGCACGCAACAAAAGAAGCACTGGCAAAAGGCACAGAGACAGAAAAGCTCACAGGCTTCTTGCAAAGTGACAGAAAACCCACTGACAGGACGGGCGATGATCTGCATTGTACCAAAAACCTTAAATAAGTTAAAAAAAAAAAAAAAAAAAAAGAGAGAAATACCACTGAGGAAACATATGCACATACACACACACACAGACGCAGTTAGTGCTGTCACCGGGCTGGATTTGCAGGCACCTCCCGTGCTCTCACAGCCCAACCTCAGATTTTCCATGGGTGGATCACAATGCAAAACAACGCGGGGAAGTCCTTCCTCCTGCCAGTGCTGGGCCAGCAGTGGGAACCTCCATGCAATGGGGGGGACCTAAACAAGCACACAGAGCCCCGATATCTCCTCGCTCCTTCCTTTGCCCTCCAGAATAAATAAATAAATACTGCCGACGGCGACCGCTCGCGTCCGTCCCCACCGTAGCAATTAGAAACAGAACGCGACTGATAATAAATAAGTGCGTCAATAAATAATTAATAAATAAATAAAGAAGTTTTGCTCCGATGCTGGAGAGCCTTCAGCTGCCACCGGCCGTGCAGGTGAATGGGTACCAGAGCCACGTGGCACCTCTTGTCCCATAGCCAGCGTGTGCTGCTGCCTCCAGCACTGTGTTTGTTCTCCGTCCCACGAGGAACTCGGCTCAATGTAGTTGGGCTGTTTAACACCGCTTGCACAAAGCTCTTTGCTTTCCCAGCTGTTGCCCATCTGGCTCGCTGCTGCAGGTGCATGCCGGCATTTGGGGGCACGGAGGGGCATGGAGAGACCGACAGATTTGGGATTTGGCCTCTGGTTGCTGAGATCAGACCTTTCATGGAGCGCTACAGGGTGACAATGCCAAACTGGGAGAGACTCTCTAAGGAAAAAGCATGGGGTTCTCAGCCCTTTATAAGAAGGGTGCTCCCCACCAGAGGAGCCAGGGGCTGCTGTGGGGCTGGGGTGGGGGGAAGGCAGCAGCACCCGCTGCAAGAACACCTCGTCTGTAATTCTCAACCACAGCCTGAGGGGTTTGCAGTGAGAAGGAGACGGGAAAAAGGGCCCCTGTTATCAAATTTCCCCTTGCATCAGCTACGTATAAGTATAAACCTGCTGTGTTTTCCAACTGATAACACGTTTATATGCTTGATAAGGCAATCATCCAGGTTGTGTTTGACCTTACCCTGCTCATAGCTTTACCTGCTGCTAGTGGGAGCCGTGGGTAACTCTCTGGCTGTGGGTTTGCCTTTCCTCCCACCCCTCTCTCCCTCCGGCAGATGCTGGCTGCCCTGAGCCCTTTCCTGTGACACTTCAATGACACACCTCCTTGACTCATTAAGCCCAAACTCGTTAATGATCACGCAGGATGGAAGGGGAGGGGATGGAAAAAGGGAGGGAGGGAAGTCTTAGACCTAAATTAGCGTCTCTAAGCACCCAGGTGTTGTAAGAGAAAGAAAATCCTCAGCACCGGCTCAGCCCGTGCTAGGAGAAGCCTTTGTTGCTCTGCAAAACACAGTAATTGCGCAGGCAGCTGGGCTGGCAAGCCTGGCAGCGAGACAAAACCGCAGGGCCGCCCAGGCAGGGCCCTCCCAGATCCTGGGAAAAAAAAGCAGGCAATTTTGGGGGAAGGTGGGGGGTCTCTGAGATGCGAGCCGTGCAGCCCCAGCTCACACTGCAGCACTGACTCTGCTGTGCTCCTCTCAGCGATCACACTACTATAGGGGAATAAAACAGCCCCGTGAAAGGTGGATGTGTAACAGCCTGTTAGGAAAGGGCAGGAGAAAGAGAGGGAATGTTTTTTTTCCCCCCCAGAAATTAATGTCAGGAGGGATTTCTAGCCTTCTATTTATAGCAGAGTTGGGCGTATGGCAATAAATAAATATGCTCATGGCAGAGACCTGTTGCAGAGTGGGCAGAATCTCGGGAGGAGAGATCCAATATCAGGGACCTGATATTTGCCTTGAGTAGGACAGGTCACGTCCACTCATCACCAAAGCTTCCCAGCAAATTCCTCCCTAAATGTGTCTCTTCCTCCGGAGGGAATTAATTCGCTGGCTCCCGCTTTGGCAAGAGAAGAGCAAAGAGACAATCTTCTTCCTTTGGAGCAGCTGGCAGCTATCGCAGAGTGGCAGCGATGGGGAGATGGGGATGTCAGGAGGATGGACCCTGTAGGGTCTGCAGAGCCTCTGTAGGGCATTGGCCCCTCTTCCAGCCCCAGCTCTGGCTGGGGGCGCTGCATGGATCCACCCTCCGTGCAAGGCAGCCAGAGGGGCTGTTCCAGGAGCACGAGGGCTCTTACTCCATCCGTAATGAGAAAAGGGGACCCGGTGCTGCTGTCGCATCAGTATCGGGGATGATTGCGATCAATGGCCAAGTAGGTGGGAAGGATGTGGAGAACGCAAGGAATTCGGTGATGCCGGCGGCACTCCTTAGCGACGCAGGCTGTCGGAGCTGCCTCCTGAGTCACAGCTCCTGCTCCGGCTGCGGCTGCTCCTGGGGCCTGAGCTCCTGCTGCGGCTCCTGCTCTCTGCACTGCTGCTGCTCCAGCTGCGGCTGCGGCTCGTCCGGTGGCTGGAGTAGCTCCGGCTCCGGCTAGGGGAGCGGCTGAGACTGCTGTACCAGGAGGAATAGCTGCTGGCGCTGCTGGAGGAGGACGGGCTGGGCCGGTAGTAGGGGATGGGGCGTTTGCGGGCGCTGTGGGGACAGAGAGATGCAGGATTACCAGGAACGCAAGGACAGATTTATTGCCAAGATCTTCAAAATATGTTGTTTACTCTGTACGACACCTCTCAGATTTATCTGGTTTTATTTGCAGGTAGCTGGCAGGCGTTGGGATTCCAGCCAACCACCCCCAGGGACACCATCCATCAAGTCTGAGGCTCTGCCTGATGTTTTCCCAAAAAGCCCTCAGCTTGAGAATTAGAGTCAAATTTGACTGTCTATAGCATGGGACATGTGCCATAGGAGAGGGTGAAGCAAGAGCCTTCTGCACTTTGTACTTGATGGGTGGGTGAATCCCTGCTCTGATTTATCTGCCCTTTTTCTTCTGTGGTTGTAAATGAGATCCCTGCATCCTTCTGCTTCCAGCTGCAGATCCCCCAGCTGGAGGGGAGGCAGAGTTAGGGTTAGGGAAACCATTGTGCTCCTGGAGCAACCTGCACCAGAGGTCGCTGGGACAGAAAGCAGCCCATGTGCCGCAGCTGTGATGTCTCCATACCTGGTGATGCGCCGGGCCTCCAGGTGGCTGGGGGAATCCCTCCTGCGCTTCCTCAGGGGAGAATAGGAACGCCGGCGCTGCCGGTCCCGCTGCCGGTGTGACTCCTTCTCACTGGAGCTGTGCTTGTGCTCACGGTCCCTAAGGGAAGGGCCAGATTGAAAATGATCACTGCTGGGCTTTTGCAAGTGCAAAAATCGGCTGGATGGGGTTTGAACACTCCAGTTGAGTGGAAAGCGCTCTGCTCGGTGTTTGGGTGGCATCAGCCTTGCACTTTCCTGGACAGTGGGACACTAGCCTGACAGACGGACATCCAGCAATTGTAGGCTGCAGGCAGTTTTCAGCAGCGTCTCCCAGCTGCTCTGCATTGCTAAGCTAAATGGCTTCCCCGTCCCTTTGTGGATGCAGTTGGTATTTCCACAGCGCTGCTAAAGCTGCTGTTGCTGGCTGTGCTGCAAGAGCGGGCGAGCACAGCCCTGCCAGCAGGCCCCACGTGTGCAGAGGGCCCAGGTAGCTCTGCAGGGCTGTGCACCGCTCACCAGCAGGAGTGCTGGGGTTGCTATGGTTTTCTCTTTTGTTAAATCCCTGTGCACGTCAGCACAGGCCCTGCTGTGGAGGGTAGATGACTTCATATACACCCCGTTCCCTTCTCAATACCATCCGCAAAGCAATGCATTACAGGTCAAGGACCTGATCCTTGCGTGCAGGAAATGTTCTCCTGCATCAGAACAGGGGCTGTCACAGCTTGCAGAATCAGGTCCTGCGAATGTAACATTTTAAGGATGCCAAATGCTCACAGCATGCTCAAAAGCAGAGATGTTACCAGAAAATACTGCCCAAAGGCATCTCTAGGGCTGAGCTGTGAGATGTGTTTTCTACAGGGTGTGGAGCAGAGTCACCTGGGCTGTGTTTCCCCATGCGTGGCTCTATGAGTGCCAGCATGAGGGTACCTGGCACCTGCCCATGCAGCAGGGACACTTCTCAGGGCCTGAAACCTCTTTGGCAGAGCTACAGCTTGGAAGAGCAGAGCATCTTTCCCTGCTGCACTGATTGCCCCGAGGCAATAAATGGGAAGATATTTCCACTGGATTGCAGATCAGCAGAATGCTCGGACATGTGCCACACTCCATGTCTCCCTGCTTCCTCCAACCCTGGAAGCTGAGGGGGGCAGTTTGGAGCTGACAGAAGGAACCAGAAAGTAGGCTGGAGTACAAGCAAGTGATGGAAGCAATGGAAAAGCATGAGGGAGCAGATACCAATGTAGAGACAGTCATACCTCATAGGGCTGTAGTGGGAGTAACTGGGGCTTCGGCGAGTCTTTGAGCTCCTGCTTCCAGGGCTTTTTTTGCAGGATTTGGAGGAATAGCTGGGGGACCGTGAAGAAGACCTGTGGCTAGGGAAGAAACATAAGAGCTGGAGGGTGAGGTTGTACCAGACTTCCCCTCATCTAGGCTCATGATGGGGAGAAATGCCCTGTATCTCAAGGGCCACGTGGTTCCCTGGCACCCACACAAACTCTCACTCCCGTCCCCAAGGAGTCCACCAGCCTGCAAGAGCTGGAGATTGCCCGGAGTGATGGAGAGAGCCATTTGTGCTGGCCTTACCTCTTCCCTGAAGAGCAGGACCTGCTGCGGGAGTACCTGGGGGAGGCCCTGCGGGGTGAGGAGCAGCTGGAGCCAGGGGAGGAGCGTCCTGTGCTGCTGCACGACTCACTGCGGGGGCACGGCCTGAGTGGTGAGCTGCGGGCTGGCGATGGGGGGACACTGCGCTTCTTCTCCTCTGAGCAGCTGAGACACGAGGACAGGCATCCTCTGTAAACGTATATTTGGGTTGTCAGCTCCTCTGCCCCATGCCCTGGGGCATGGGGTTGAGGGTGAGGAGCAAGGAAAGCGTGGCAGGGCTGTGCTCCAGGAGCAGAGCGAGCAGGCATGTCCTATTGCCTTTGGATTGGGCTGTGAGAATCCCTGTACTTCCAGAAGAGCCATGGATGTGAATTGGGGTCAGCTTCCCAACAGTAAGGACCAGCTGCAATCCCAGCTCCCCCCATGTGAAGGCAGAGTTATCCCACTGGAGTCACAGCATGAGAAGTATGTACAGCCTCAACATGTTACCCTCCAAATGAAAATTCAGGACTTGTTCTTCCTAATACCAACCCCCCTGGCTCTAACATTTGGCATCTAAGACCTGAGGTGGAATTGCTCCCAAACACCACTGCCCCAGCACAGCTTTGGGTACCAGCTGCCATGCTTCTGCTCCTTCATCCCCACCACGTGGCACATCCCGGGAAAGGGAGGCAGAGGTGGAGCTGGCACCTACTCCTTTCTCCTGATGATGACCTGTGGCTGGGTTTTCATCTTCCACCTCGGGCTCCAGCATTGCTCACTGTGGGCTCTGAACTCCAGACTGGCAAGGTCTGATTGAGATCTAACCACCTCCAGACCACAAAAACCTCCCTGCCAGCTCACCAGTGCATCAGGAATGCGAGCGGGAGGTACAGAGCAACAAATACCAGCATCAGCTGCTGATAATCACTGACCTTTGGTCTTGTCCCTGCGGATTTGGAGACAGATTTTCCGAAGCCGTTGCCTTGGTCTGCGAAAAGCAACTGGTGAAGGAATTTCCTGAATCAGAGCTGTTATCACCATTGGCCACTTTGGGCTTCCCGGATGAGAAGGCATGGCCAAAGCCATCGTGGGCTACGCTTCGTTTCTCCTGGCTGTCCTTTGACCTGGATGAGCTCGTTTGAGTGGAGGGAGGGGAAGAAGTGTCGTTTCCTGAGTCATATTCATGACACTCTCCGTTCTGGCTGGTTAGGTGGCCAGGTGGGCTGTCTGTTTTGGTAAAGAGGTCAGCAGAAGACCCTGACTGAGAGATCTGAAAGCAAAAAAGCCATTTGGCATTGTTTGAACGTTTTATTGAGGAGGGTTGCTCTTGGTTTTACTTTGCTTTTATTTTATGTCTTAAATAAACCCAGAAATTTTACCATCATGATGCACTGAAACAAAAGGAAAGAAACAAAGTAAGAAAGAAAGAAAGAAAAAGAAGAAAGAGAAGAAAACAAAAGCACATATCCCTGAAAGAAATCCACAGTAAGAAGAAACTCCTTTTCCCCCTGCTATGATAACGGGAAGATCTAGAGATCATGCAAAGAGTATCAGCATGCGATCCATGTTAAACAAAAGAGTTCAACAAAGTAAACGGGCAACCAAGGAATCAAAGTAACAGGCTGACTAAATTAAAAAAAGGTGTAACAGAGGAAAAAGCCCTTATTTAACCTAAAAGGGGGAGGGCAAAAAAAGAAACAAAAGAGGGAATGGGAATATATATTAAAAAAAAACCCAAAACTTTATAATCCTTGGAAAGAAAACAAAAATGAAACAAATGCTTAAATAAGTGAACTTCTGAATGAATGTCACAAAAATAAGTGAAGAAAAATCAAAGCAAATCAAACAAAGGGCTTCTGTACAAACTGGCAAATAAATAAGCTTAGCAATTTGAAAATAAAAACTAAGAAAGGGGGGGAAAAAAAAGAAAAAAAAAAAAAAGGAGAAGGGAAAAAAAGAAAAATCCCTCTGGAAACAAAAGGTATACAGACACTTCTTTGTGTGCTTTTTTCCCCCTGAAGAAGATATAGCTAATGCGCTCAAGTGACCTCTAATAAATTCCCTGGTGTCTTGCGGATAGCATCCACTTACCCATCAAGAACTCCTCCTTTAGTAGGTAAGGTGTAAGAAAAAAGGAAGAGCGGGCAACATAAGTCCATCATTAGAGTCTCAAATTACATAAAAAAAACATAAACCCTCTCTTCAATCCACACTGCCAACTGTTCACTTGACTCTGCTATGTAAATGTCACAACTGCTTTTTGTCTGCTCGCTTCTCTCACTTATTATTCCTTATTTTTGTTTCCTTCTGCTTTACATTAGGCTGCCCAGACAGCTCCTGGGGGCTGATGGCTTGTGCTGGAAAATCGTGGCTTGCACTCAATCCCCTTGGGTTTCATGGTGGCCCACGGGTACGTGGAAGTGGCAAAAGGAACTCAAGCGAAGAAGTCAAAAATAAAGTCGAGGGGGAAACAACATTTCCCCACTTTGGCTGTACTGGAGACCTACAGGAAGGGGATGATGGTTTTGGTGGGCTACTGAAGCTGAGGACCCAACAGCCGTGTGCTGGCTGCCTTGGCTGGGGCTGTCAGCTGGCACCACCAGGGGACTTACATCATCTGAACGTCTGATCGCTTCAGTTTTATGTCTACTGGCATCCACCAGAGCCAGTCCAGCACCGGTCAGCGAGGCCACACGAGTGCTAATGCCTGGCCTTGTGATGGGGAGCATTAAGGACAAACACAGACCTGGCACATCTGCACCCTGTGTGACCTTCTCCAGGCCCCAGGGTTTGCAACACAGGTGCTGCTCTTTGCCATTTCTCTGCCAGCTCTTGTTTATTCCAGCATAAGTTTACTCCAGAGATGTCAAAAGAGTGTAACAGAGCCGGGGGTCCGGCCCTGCTCTGTTTTGCACCCAAAGACACAAGGGATGTGGCCTCCATGATCAGAACCATGCTCTCTCCCCAAACACATCCCATAGAATACAAGACTGTGCTTTCAAACATGGCCCTTTTTTTCTAACGATTCTGGCTTGTGTTATACCTGAACCCTGATCAAGAGGCAGCCACCTTTTGGCTAGATTTCATTTACAGGCATAAAAACACCATGTGAAGCACTCCCTGACTCCAGAGGTGGGAGGCTGGGGGTGGGCATCTGCATCTCCCTCACCTCTGTTCCCTCCCCAGTCCAAACCAAACAGCCTTTAGCATTCCCCAGCTAAGAAATCCACCCATTTCTTGGCATTTCTACCCCTGGGACCTAGGATTGCTAGGAACTCTTGTTTTGCTTGCATTGAAGTAACAGCTGCTGTCAGCGCATCCCAAAATCTACCCAGTGATCCCCCAGTGCCCCTCTGTAGCTCCACCACTGCAATAACAGCACTCTGGGAAGAGGTAACACGGATAGAAGTGGAATATGTCCTTGTGAGGGCTGGAAGGCCTGGCCTGTGGTTTCTGTCCTGTGGTAGAAGGCAGGACAAGCACTGAGGTGCTGGGCAGAGACAAATTCCCCCATTTGGTGACCTTGGCTCTTGACCTCTGGTTCCATTTTCCTGCCACACAAAATAGGAACCACGAGCTGCATCTGAAGGCACTGCAGAGTTCAATTGAATTCTAATGGCTTTTTATTTTTCTGGGGTGTCTTAAAAGAGTCTGGTCTTCTGTGAATGTAATTTTCTCCGTGTGAACATTTGGCATTTCCCCCTCCCCCCTCTTATAAGTAATTAAATAATCTCAATGATTTCGGTGTGAGACACACTGCTGCCCTTCAAGAGAACCCAAGATACGTATTTACTGTTTGGGTTTGTTATTTTTTGTGTTTCAAATCGTTATTTAAGCAAGATGAAGGGACGAGTAGAAACGAGGCCCTGATGCTTCAGAACGTAACGCTGAGCGCGCTCCTAGATCAAGAGGCAGTGCAGCCTAATGGCTTGCAACAATACAATCACTGCTCGTCTTCCAATTAAACTGAACGAGTCCATTTACTGTGCCTTCAAACAGCCTCGAGGAGAGACAGGACTATAAATTTTCTCAGCCATAAGGGGACCGAGGCCCATCAGTGAGCAGCGCGGCGCAGCCTCGCTCATCGCCAGAGGGTTTTTCTGGGGTCTTTTTCTCTGCTTTGAAATGAGTCGCAAAACAAGAGTTAATTTCTTTTTCAGAAGTGCATAATGTCTCCCTCCCTCTGTCTGTCCGTGCATTGTACCCATGAAAGGCACACAAAGCTTGCAGCAGTGACCCCTGCTCCCTGCTGACAGCTGCCACTGCAGCACCTGCTGCCTTGCAGGGAGTGGGGCCCAGAGGGCTGCCCTTCAATGGGGAGATGGGCTGGGCTCTGCTAACCCTCTGCCTGAGCTGACATCAGTGCAAAACTCCTCTCCGCCTGGTGCAGTGAGCACATCCACCTTGGTTTGAGCTGGTCTGGCACAGCTTTGGGGTGAGGGCTCGCATCACGTTGCCTCCTTTGGGTACCCGGGGCACTGCTTGGTCCGCTCATGGCTGCACACTCTCTTGCCTCTGTGTGAGCTCTGAGCTGCAAATTTATCGGGTGATAACCAGAGGTACATTCAGGCCTCTGGCTGAGAGGATCAGCAAAAGAGTGAGGCTTTCGTGTTTAGGGAAGGCTTTGCCTTCCAGCTCCTGAAGAGCCCTGTTTGTCATCAGAAACATGGCACGCAGCAGTTAAAAGAGCAGCTTTTCCTATAGAAACTACAACCCAGGCTGGAAAACAGAGAGCAAGAGCAATGCAGTCTCCAGGCATGCTATCAGCCTCCCCCTGCCCCCCTGCACACACTGTCCCCATCCCTGCACTGTGTTGTCCCACCTGTACCTCCCTGCAGGCACGCCAGCACAAGCAGTGCTGCTTGGAACAACCAGACCCCACTGAGCCTCCTTGAAAATTTGGGTCAAGCCTGTGTTAATTAGTGACATTGCAAACGAGCTTCAGTGAAAGCAAAGGAGCTGGCAGGGAAGGTAGATGCGGTGTGCAGTTATCTTCATCAGGTACAACAAAAGGCAATTAAGCTCACACCCTGCAGGTATTTATATTGCTCTGCTCAACCAGAAGCACAAGGGCACGGAATACATCTGTACCAATGCAGAATAGTGTCTGCAGCAGGACAGGGGGTTGCTGTTAATGTTCAGATATAGCAGCAGCCTATTACCAGTTTCTCTGCATGCTGAGGCACAGCCTCACAATCCTCTTTCTCAACAGGTGCCTATTGTGGCTGCGTGTGATTAAAGGAAAAAAAGAGCGTGTGAAGCTTGGAAATTCATTGCTCAAAAGAAGCAGGGAGCTCTGGGGGTGTTTTTGCATGTGTGCATGCTCGTGCATGCACCGACTTGCACATAAAGGCGAGAGGGGAAGAAGCAGAGAGGTAGATGCTCTTCTGTGTGCTTCATCCCTCAGATTGCAGGTAAACTGAGCTGGATGAGGTCATTCCAATAGAAAAGAAGGGACAAAATGCGTGGAGACAAAGTTTACCACAGAGAGCTTCCATTTTCCAGGAGAAAATAGAATAAAATCTGGCTTAAAATTAAATAATTTTTAAAAATAGATTTGGAAATGCTGTAGCATTACCTCTGTGTATTGCCTGTCTGGGTCTCCTCTGTGTGTCAGAGCCCTCCCTGGACCATCACTTCCCTTAGGAGATATCACGATGAATCTCCCCACGTCAGGAGGGTTTGTGTTGGAAGCCCAGGCCAAGAGGTGTGACAGAGACTGTATAGCATTAGCAGACAAGACTGAAAGCTCCCATTCCATTTTTCCCTGCTGGTGTTGAGTATGTGATATTTAAAGACCTTATTCAGCACTTCGCCAGGGGCTTCAATTTAAACAAGTGTGTTCTTGATAAATGTGTTCTTGAACGATGTCCCAAGAGAGCATACTTCTGTCTGGGAAAAGAGAGGACACCAATGGACTGCAGAGGAAAAGTCTTTTAGCCATTGGTTTCCCTGTGTTATTAACTCACCCTGACCTTGCTGAGTTGACACAGGGTACCACCCCAGGCCGGTGGCAATGACAGCTCTGCAGCTTGTCCTTCTTTCTTTGCATGTGCTGCTGTAGCACGTAAGCACAGCACGCAGGTTCTGCTACTTGTGCTCTGCCTTATATGGCTTTATAAGCAGTGACTCAGTTGTGCACTACACACTCAATAGGTGTATATGACAGGAGTAAGTATGCATCTGTGACTCTGGGAGACAGCTTGTGCTTGTCTGTATCCATATATGATCTCTGTGTACTGTGATTGAAATGCCAGCTGTGCAGGTGAGCAGAGAAAGAGCCTCCTCTTGCTGGGACTATCTCCTCTATTTAAGGTATGGCTGGGCTATTTCCAATTGAGGACAGGGCTTAAGAGAAGAAAGTCAGTCCCCCACTATATACCACTTCAGGGCTCAGAGGACTCCACTCAAGCCACTGGTAGCATTCTATAACTACACAAGAGCACCAGGTTCTGTGCTGCCTGAAGTCTTATGTAGCACTGCCCCTCTCCAGAACACCCATCAGATACTAACACTGATCAAAGAGCATCACACCTCTGCTTGGCAGCTACTGGGAACGAGGGGGAAATGTGCCATGGGAAAAAAAGATTTCATACCAATCGCTATCTAAGATTTCTCTCCATTTTTGCTCCCTCTGTTCTAAGGCATGTATTATATCATCTCTTTCCATGTATATGGAAAAACATCCCAAGGCACTGAGACTGACTTTACCCTCGGCTGCACATGCAGTTCCCATTAGCATCAATGAGAGCTGCACACAAGCTCTCAAGTTGGCCCCTGGGCTTGTCAGTCCAGAGCAAAAGCGATCTCAGAAGGATCCCAATAGAAAACATCCCCTGCCAATAATCACCAACTCATTAAATGTAAATATTTCCTTTATATACGTCTGATTCCCTTTTTTACCCCTAAAGGACCAAACTTTTGGACATCAAGACCGATGAATTAAGTCCAAATTCAGCTGAGCAAAGACTGCATAACAAACACATCCCTGTGAAATATCATTGCTGAAGGCCACTTTTTCTTTTTTTTTTAATGTTAAGTGTCCTCAATTCAATATTCAGTGGCTAGAGACTCGGCAAATCTTTCCCCTCTCCAACCCCACTCTTGAAGAGGAAGTGCTGAAGGAAGGAATGACTTTAAATACATTTGGAGAACAGCACCGTTAATAAGTAATGCTGTTTTAACCAAATTTTGTCTAACATCGTTATAATCGAGTTACAAAAATTTCATGTCAGACTTCTCACCCATATTCCCGTGGCTACTGAAAGCAAAGAAGCACAGTGCGTAATACTTACGACTTCCTTAGGAGACAGGAAGCTGTGCAGTGGCAGGGTTTGGCTGGCCTGAACCTCTGCAGAGGAGCTTCTCTTTGCTGGGACTTTTGCATGGTGCTGGGAACGTCTCCGCCTTGCTTTACGCCCTTCCTCCCGAGACCTGGCTCTGTGCCTCCAGAAAACATAGAGAAGCAAAGCGTTATCCTCAGCATTGCAGCAGCGCCCACCAGCAGCCGCACGCAAACCCTTGTCTCCTCTGTGCAGTCAGGATGGAGTGAAAGGGAATATTTTGCTTCCTTGCTTTAAAAATGTTTTTGTTTGCAACCAGGAGATGTGTGGTGAGGTTTGGGTTTTAAACCTCAAATTTCAGCTCCGATATTCCTAATTTTATGGTAGCTCACAGCTTCCACACAGCCTTGAATGTCCCTATGCCTATACACCTCCAAGAGATGACACTCTGCATTTACATGAACTTCCCACCTATTACTGGTTGTGTTCCTCCCTGCTCTGATCACCAGGTTTCCACGAGAAGATTCTCAGTAGTTAGAAGGAGTGGAGTGGGACAGAGGGAGTAATTTGTTCATAAAGCTCTTTCAAACAACACATAACAAGCTCACAATGTGCATAGCTGTGCAATTTGCTATTGCAGTGATGCGGGTCTAGCACCAGCATCCACTCAGCTGGCCTCAGGATGCATCTGTCATCTACAGGAAAGAGGTTTTAATCAGGTCAAAGATAGTGGCCATAGGATGCCATTGGCAAATACATTTCCATTGCTAAGAACAAGCTTGAAGCTTTCCTGGGACATTGGCAGTACAGAGCCCTGGGGTGGGAAAGGCAGACCGGGCTGAAATCAGCTGTCACTGGCTGATCATCAGCCACGGAGATTAGAAGTGACTGCTGGGCTGAGAAGATGCAGCCACCGTTTCTTAAGCCCAAACCCTCTGTTTTATGGCCGTGACCACAGGGAGCTCAACACCCAACTGCCAGAGTGGGACGTGGCTCTGCCCAGAGGGTCAGTGGGGCACACGAGCCATTGCACTCACACTCCTGACTCACTGCAGTGCTGCAGGGCAGCAGCCCAGCGAGCGGTGACATTACCTGCTCCGGCAGCTCGGGGAATAGGAGTCAGAGCTCTCTGAACGAGAGTGGCAGCGGCGGTGGCGGTGAGCTTTCCGGGTGCGCCCACGAGAGCTTTGGGAAGCAGAGAAGAAACCGTGGTTAGATAGCAGAACTAGGCTGTAAGACCCAGCAGTTGGAGGCCAAAGTCAACAGCACTTAGATCAGAAACCAGATCTGCATTTTAAAGCAAAGGGATCGGTGCGTGAAACATTGCAAAGGACACAAAGGCATGAAAAATTCTCCATCCCTTCACAGCTGCCCTGACATCAAGGCATGTCATCTTACTGAGATCTATGCTAGCATTTAGCTACAAGCTGTTAGGTTGCCTCTGCGCCATGCTGGAAGAAGATCTATGGACAAGTGCACAGGAGCGCAGCAGGCAGCACCAATGCTTTCTGCTTTCAAGACCCTAAAGAGCTATGTCACCCATTCCTCCTTCATCCTGCAGCCCACCCTGACAGCCCATTGCTAAGCCCTGCTTGGGGAGCACTGTCTCTCTGAGCAGCCCAATGCCAAACTCAAACCCTCCCAGACTCCCCATAATACAGGATGCTGGGTACCAGCTTTCCCCACCTTCTCGAGAGCATCCAGCCTGTCCTATAATCTGCTCTTATTATTGTTATAAACATGAAACACAGCCTCCATAACTGCAGCCTACGCTATGCAGGGTTTCTGCTTGAGGGGACAGGACCATTTATTTGACTTCTCATAGGTGCCCAGCTGCTGCTGCTCCATTCTCTTACATGGCCACAAGACAGGGACCAGCAAACTGCACACAGACACAGGTTCACTGTCCTGCTGCTCTTCCCCTTGCTTCATTTGGGCTGTTACAGATGGACCTGGCCCTATTACTGAAGGACTGGTGTTGTCGTTGCCAAAAGCCCCCAGTCCTGCACTCAGGGAGCAGGGTTATGTGAGTGGCAGGCTCTGAAACCTTCTGTGCTTGTTCCTTCTTGTCATGCCCAGTGCCCACCACAGCAGCTATTTTGGGTCTGGTGTGTAACCATCTGCTCAGCCTGGCACTGCTGTGCCAGCACGCAAAGCTGATGATGGGTTAGCTGACAGGAACAATCTGGTTTCATGGCCACGCTGTACCAGCCACTGACACTGCTAACATACCTGCCTGGACAGCATTTAGCAATTTGGCACCATAAGAAATCAGTGAACCAATTGCCTGAGCACAGCATCTCCTCTAAAACAAAAGGGCAACAATGAGGGCAATTGCTTGAACTCTGCTTGGCTGTTTTCTCTGATGCTTTTTATACACTATGATTGTATTTCCAGCATTTTACATTTGGGGAGCTTCCTTCCTTCTGTACAGCTGAAGTCAGCAGCACTGACTGCCTCTCCCTCTCTCCATGCTTTCTCTTCACCTTCTGCATCAGTCCCTCCAGTTTAAGAGTTTTTCCCTATGTTCAGGAAGGACAAACTGCTCCCATATGGTTTAGATAACAAAGATAAGCCAAATCCTGATTCAAGTTGGCTTATGGGATCTCTCTGATCCACAACAGGGAGCAACGGGGAGGCTTGAAGAAACCACGAGTGACTCAGTTCTGATTTCTGAGTTGAAAGATGAGGACTAAAGAGCCCTGGGTGGTTTATCCCCAAAGAGCAATCCCAGAAGCTCTCATTCCCCCCAGTCAGTGCATTACTGCATCCAATCTTTGTTCTAAGCACACTGCTAGGCTAATGCAGGTCGGCCAACACTGTCGTGCGTGGAAGGTGCCCTCTTATACAGATAATCAAGAAAGCTTCAGCTTTATCAATGATCTATGAGATCTCTGGGCACACAGCAGCTCAGTTTGCGGGAAGAAAACAGTGAGTGCATTGCTGCACATGCAGAAATGCAGAGAAAAGGAGATGGGATTTCTGCATGCAATAGAGGTGAAGGCAGCACCTCGTAGATTCTAATCTCTTCAGTCCCAATGGGCAGCAAGGTGACATTGGCAGTGCTAGGGGCTCTTGTCCTTCTGTTCCCTTCCTAAGAGTAAGGTTGTGTTGGGAAGAATTACAGGGCAGGCCCTGCTAATAGCAATCAGACAGAAAATCCCTGTCTGCCAGCTCTTCTTTCCCTAACAGGGTATGCTGAGTCCCAGCAGAGCCAGCCAGGGGTTCGATGCCCAGGCTTCAGCCCCAGAGCTGTTTCTGTGCTCTGAAAGCAGGTGAGAAGCCACAAGTTGCAAAATGGAAGTCTTACAGGCCCTCCTTCTAGCCCCAAAGAACCATGTTTCATACCATACTCCTGTCTGTCCCTCAAGACAAATATTGTGCTTGTCTTCTGCACAACACCAGAGCAGATGGGAACATCAAGTCCGTATTTCAACAGTCTCCATCATCTCTAAACAACCTCTTCTTTTCTCCAGCCCCCATTGCTTTCTGCTCCCATTTGGATATTTGGTTATATCACTAGCAGTCCCTGTGTAACCTCTGAAAGCAGCAAACAAGGAGGAGCTAAAGCCCCTCTCAGTGAGGGCATGCAGAGCTGGGTCTCATACTGCCTTCGTCAGAAGAGCTGGACTTTCTGCTCACAGCTGGCAGGGCAGAGAATATTGTGAATCACTACTTACTGTTTTTTGTGTTTTCTTTCTTCCTTTCTCTTACTTTTGGGGCTTGAGGAACTAAATAAGAAATGGCTAATTAATTTGGAGATTTCTGTTCTGATAGAAATATATATATATATATATACATAGCACACTCACACATCAGCATTACAGCTAATTTGCCCCCAAAACAACATGCAGTTAAAAAATTGAAGGGATGAATGGTTCTGCCTTGACACTGGGGGTCTCAGTTCCTGATGAGAAACCTGGGCTTGGACACAGTCCCCATGGCATCAGTCAACCTTCTGGCTTTACATGCTGTTTGTAGGTGAAACCATAAGAGGAATGAAGGCTCAAGATGCAGAAAGTATCCAACATGGACGAGGTTGCGAGACCCACAGAAGATGGAGGAACCAAGGGGATTCCACAAAGAGGCACAGAAGTGATTCCTGCCTCCACACAGTGAACATCAACCTTGTAAGATCCTGAGGAGACCATTTCTAGGGGATCACCCACACGTGCTCAACTCTTACCTGTGTCTTCTCTTCTTTGAGGATAACCTGCAAGACACAAAGGTGCACACTGAGCACAGCATCTTACAAAACTGGAAGTTTGAATCACAGACAATCTGGTAAGGTCCATCTTGAGGCTGAGCACTAAGGAAACAATGCACCAGCTAGACAGCCTTGACTCCCTTTTAGCCAGCTGGGCTAACGAGGCAGCTAACAGGACAGCTGGTGCTGGTGGAAGCCACTGGCACACTGCAAATAATTGAGCAATTCACTCTCTGTAGAATCAAACACCTCCTCTGTCCCTGGTGGATTGCTTTTCTCTACTACTGACTCCGCACTGCACTGAGTTTGAAGTTGTCGAGGAGAGTCTAAACCCTGATTTTCTGTACAAAGGACTGAGCAGCAGTCAAAGGAGGAATCCTTTCTGCAAAACTCCAGAGCAGGCTCACAGCCAAACCAGCTTCATGTCTTCCCTCCCGGAGCAAGCCTGTAGGAATCACCATGCTGGTGGCCCTTGGAAAAACCTGGGAGAATAGAGGGGGGATACATCCTTCCAGTGAGCCCCCTGCACGCTGCCTCACGTCCCATCTGAGCTCCTAGCACAACATCCCACAGAAGACATGGCCTGAAGTCCTGTCTAGAAGGGCCGTGAGATGGCCCAAGACAAGGCCAGTTGGGATCTGTAGTTGAGTGGTACCTGGAAATGACCTCCGTTGGTCACTAACGCTCAGTGGTTGATCGTGATGCCTTTTGGGATGAACTATAAGCTATAGTTCAGCTTGCAGGGGCACAAATGGGTACTACAGGTGTAAAAATGACAAGCATCTGACCTGAGATGGATATCAGGAGATGCCATCCATAAAATAGCATAAGAATCTGTTCTTGGAAAGGATATATTTTAGAGGCATTTCTATCTCCTTCTATTCTCCCTCCCTTTCACCTTTTTCCATAACAAAAAAAGGGCTGCTTTTCACTCTGTTCACCACTTTCAGTAGCTTCTTGCTCTCATTCAATAAATTATAAATACATGAACTTTCCAAGGGAGATGGCATCCACTGTTCTCTGCAAATATTGGTTTAACAGCTGGAAGAAGACAGTGAAATATTTGCAATTCCAAAATTTCATCACTCTCTTTAAATTAAAAACCGGCTTTCAGAACCCGACACATCACAGCAACACTTCCAAAGGAGAAATACCTGTTTCTTTTTCGTTTCTTGGAGCTCTTCTTTTTCTTCTTCTTCACAGGAGAGGGGCTGTAGGAAGGAGACCTGGGGGAGCAGAGAGGCATCAGGGCCAGCACAGCCCCTCACCCCCAGTGCTGCCCACCTTGCACCCCGCCACCAGGATTTGGGGCTTGGGCAGAGCTGGGGCTGAGCCCTGTTTAGGTGTAAGGGGAGGGCAGGAGGATGGCCAACAGGGCCCCAGCCCCTCACACCTTCCCCATAAGGCAAGGCCCAGGCCAACATGGCTGCCTCACCTCCGTCGCTTCTTGCGGCTGGATTTCTTCTTCTTCTTCTTCCCCCGGGCCGGCAGCGGTGCACGTTCCCCATCACACGAGGGGCTGAGGAAGGGGGATAAAGCCAAACGAGATTTTAAAATAAATTCATAAAAGCACCATCAGAATGACCTCACTTGGGGTTGCTCACCTCCGCATGCCACCATTCCTACCTGAGGGCTGACCGGGACAGATCAGGGCACCTAATTACCCTCTAATTACCCTCACTTGAAATTGAGTGCCTCCTCCATGGGTTTAATGGAGATATAATGAGGCAGACGCTGTACGTGGCTGCGATGCCAGCTGGTTGTTTGAAATGAGCTTGCTGAGGTTAACAACTCCATGACAGATTTATGGGTTTTACTGCTTTGTAAATATGTTTTAAATAATTAATTGGCATTTGATTTGCATACAATAATTATTGAGACCGGATGAATTTAACAGTAATATAAGACATGGCAAATGTTAAATAGCAATTGATTAGAAAAATACATATTTATTGATGTGCTATGGTGATTTAGTGAGATAAGCATCTCTTACACAGTGGTTAAACTTTGGGGGGGAAAAAAAGCTGTAAATTAATTTCTTTTTAAATTGTGTTACATTTCAGCAAAAAGGAAACACTGCAGTTAATTAATATGGAGCACTGGGCTGAAAATATGAAATGCACGGGGGCTGATGGCCCTAAAGAAAGGCAGTGAATGATGGAAACTAGAGCACAGGGCCTATGCTTCAGCATCCCCACTGCCTGGAGGTGCCACCATTGGGACCTCGTGGTTGGAAAGCCATCCTCATAGGGATGTGGGATGTGGGCTCCAGCACAGCTCAGCCTCCTCCTCATCTCAGGCCATCGTCAGCTCTTGCCATGTCTGTGCCAGGGCATGGAGAACCTCCAGGCTGTGTGCTCAGCCATAGGCAGCCTGCCTGGAGCCCTCCCCCTGCTCCCAAGATGAAGCCTTTTGTCTTTGAAGTGGAAGCCTCCTCCCTGAGCTGATCTAACTTTAATTGTTCCTCTGTGATTGTAATCAGAGTCTAATTAAAAATACACTTTAGATTATTGTTCCAGTTAGCCTGACATCTGAAGATAGTAAATGCACTTTGTCTCTTTCTTTCCAGCATCTTTAACCAAACAGAAAGGCCTTAATCCCAGTCCAGCAACAAAGGCTGAGACCCCAGCTGCCTTGCTTAGCAAGCTTCATTCATTTTTACCCTTGCAAGTTGTCAGGGGCTAACAAGGTACTGATAACAGAGTGATACCCTAGTTAGGGCAGTGTGCTGCTCTGATCTAGGCATGGGAGATGGGAACTGCTGAGGGTGATCCACAGCTGGAGAAAACCCTACGTGCCCCATAGCACATGGGATGCTGGAGGTTCACACGGTTGTCCAACCCCTGCCCAGATCCCACAGACTCAGCAGGGATGAGGATGACATTTCTTCCACTGAACCTCACGGTGGGGTGGCTCTGTCCCTACCTGCGTGACCTGTGGTGAGCATGGCCACGTCTCTCCTTCCCTCTTGCCCAGCCATTAGTGGTGGAGGTCTCCTTGGACACACAGCTGCTCAGCTTCTCAGGACGTCGATCCTCGGCAGAGTACGGCAGGCAGCTGAGCGTCCCACTGCATGGCAAGAGGCCAGAAAGAGCAATAAGAGAGCTAGAAAACAAAGGGAACCACCTGAGCCGTGCAGGTGCCTGCACAAGCCCCAGGGAGCCCGTGTGAGTAGAGCCCTGCAGATATTTGTATCAAAGAATGGAAGCGCTAATGGAAAGTCGTAAACCATACCCAGTGGGGCACTGAGAACACCACATTTTTGGTGTCGTGCAGAGTATTATACAAATAAATAAAGGAACTGTCAGCAAGGCTGAGCCCAGCCAGGCATTTAGGCTTTAGAAACCATCACAGCCACCATATATGTGCTGAAGGGCCAGGGCCAGGAGTGGTGCACATCTCGGGGGTTCAGTGGTGCCAGGAAGGAAGCTAATATGCTATTCCATGGGAAAGCAGCACATCAGCCCCAGCTAGCCATGGCCAGAGGCTTGCAGCCCCTGGGAACATCTTTCTGCCTGCCCCTGGCATGAGAATCACAATTCTGGGGGTTGGAGCTGGTGCAGGAGCATCTATCGAAGAGACTTCATTCCTATTTCAACCCATGTTCTTATGAGAACCCCACCTTTTCTAACAGCCCTTTCTTGGAGCACAGTTTGCAATGCCTGAAGGTTTAGGGATGAACATTAGGCAAACACATACGCTGAGGGTCAATGGGATGATGCTGGAGGAAATATTTCCCACCCAGGACATACAGGAGGTGATGCTGGCAGATCCAATGGTCCCTCCAGCTTTAAAATCTATTATTCTGCTTGTAAAAAAATCTCCCAGTCTTTTCCCATTATCTGCGTTATTTTTAACCATCCAGGAAGCTACATGGTTAATTGCTTTCTTTGTGTGAGCTAATTAGCTTGTGGCATTTCCCAACCCCCTTTTAAGAACAGTCTTCTGAGGCTCAGTCATTAGGATCCATTAAAAATGTCCCCAAATTAATGACCTGTGCAAAGCTGGAGCAGCTCCAGTAGTGCGGATGGGGGCTCTCCCTGGGCACAGTGGGTGATGTCCCCACTAATGGCATTTCAGGTCTCGGCGTTGAAGCACATTAGCCTGAAGGCAACCAAGGGCTGCTGTCCTGCTACACGCTGGGGACCATTTCTTCTGGGCTTGGAAGTAATTATTGATGGAAATAATTATTCTCCAATCCCATCAAAGGCTGGCTTCAATTCAACCCAATACTCTCCTCCGGTGAAAGCTGAGAGTCACTAACGCTCTAAACGGGCTGGTAATCCTTTTGCGTTAAGCTCCATAGACATTGATTGAATAGATAGATATAAACATATACTTTTTTTTTTTTTTTTTTTCATCTTTCAAGGGCTGGGCCATGACAGCTTGGAAAGACACGGAGGACAGGGCAAAGGCACAGGGTGTTTGCTGCCTCAGGAGCAAACCATGGCCGCATCCCCATCGCAGTGCTCAGCACTGTGGGCACATGCCATGCCATCAGACCATGAGATGCGCTGGGTGACATAGCCCCCTCCCCTGTCTTCAGGCTCCTGAGTCCCCAAGCCATCTCCTGCCACAAAGCTCTCATCAAGCAGCCTTTCTCCTGCAGCTCCTCATCGCTGGAGGAGCGAGAAGCTGAAAAACTGCCTTCCTGGTGAGCTTTGTTTGAAAGGCGCAGCGGGGTTGGGTGCTGGATCATAGAATCATAGAGTCATGGGATCGTGAAGGCTGGAAAAGACCTCTCAGACCCTCAAGCCTAAGGCCAGCCCACCTCACCGTGCCCATAACCACATCCCTCAGTGCCACACCTCCATGTTCCTTTGAACAACTCCAGGGTTGGTGACCCCACCACTCCCTGGACAGCTGTGCCAGTGCATCACCTGCAAAAAGACACCTGCACCCCCAGCCCTGGCACCCTGCTGACCCACATCCACTGTGCCACAATCCTCTCAAAACGCATCACTGTGCAGAGGAAGCTTTTTGCGTTGGTGAAATCATCCTTTTCTTTCTCTCTTGCTTTCTGCCTCTCCTCAGTTGATTGAAAAAGAAAATGGTTGAACCGCTCTTTTGACCCAGCAGAAGGAGGGGGGGAAAGGAGAAGGTTGTAAAGAGATTTCCACGCCAAAACTCATGCAGATGTGTTTACGTAAATCCCTTTGAAATAGACACTAAAAATACCTCTTTAAAATTAGGAGGTGGGGGAGGTTGTAAGTGCTCTCCACAAACAGAGACACAAAACCACCCCACGGCAGGTTCCTTCCCCACCTCATTCAGACCGCTGTTATTAGTGCAGCAGGAGCCCTGCCGTTTGTTATTGGAAATTATAATAGCAAATCACTGCGATATTTTCCCTGATTGCATGGATCCTGAGCCAGTTCAATTTTAATCTTCTCTCCACTATTTCCTTGTGCATCAGCAGAGGCACCAGCTGCAGAAAAGCGCGTGGCTTTCTTGAAGCAGCTTAAGCACAGAAAAGAAACACAATTCCATAATAGGTGTTTTTCATCCAATTTTGGCCTCTATGGCTCACCCCCCTCCCACATCCCTGCATCCCGCTGCAAGACCAAACCCGGCAGCAGCTCCTTTTTGCTTCTTGGCCTCCAGAAATGTTTCACAACCTCTCTTATCACACCCTGGGCCAAAAAAGCAGCTCGGCTCTTCGTTTTTCCAGCAGCTGATTTGCTATGCATGGCTGTGTAAGAACAGAGGCGTCCCTGCTGGTGGCAGGGTTGGTGCCAGGTGCTCCAGGGACACTGCATGGTCACAGCCCGGGGATGGGGTTAGGGATGGGATGGGGATGGTAAAGACATGAGGATGGGATGGGCACAGGGATGAGAATCAGATGAGGACAAGGATGGAATGGGGATGGAGATGGAGATGAGGATGGGGAGAGTGAAGCAATGAAGATGGGGGCAGGGTTCAGGATGGGGAGGGGATTGAGGATGGGATGAGGATGAGGATAGGGTTGGGAATGGGGATGATAATGGGCACAGTGATAGGAATGGCTCCATCTCCATCTCAAACTCCTGCTGGAGGCAGCTGTTGGCAGCACTGGGGCAAGTGTCTCCACCATAGCTTAGAGTTGCTAGAGTCCTAATCAGGTCCCTGCCTTTGGATGTCCTCCTCCCCACGATGCTGCTCTCAGGGAACAGCCCTGTGCCTCTCCTGTTTGCAAATCTCCCTCCCTAAACACCCTGCAGGTTTCAACTCCTGGAAAGTTGACAGTGATGTCAACCAGCTCCCATCCCCGCACCAGACAGGGCCGTGGGTCCTTGCTGCAATTCCCTTGCCCGAAGTCCCGCTCTGTTGAGCAGGGCAAATGGCAGCAGGATAAATAGTTTATTTGCCAATAACATAGCTTGTTAACTTTTAATCGAATAGCGGATTGTGAGCACACAGTTGTCGGGAGCAAAGGGAGATGGCTTTGAGCACGGATCTTAGCAGGGCTCATCGGGCATGAAGGGAGCACAGGGAGGTCTGGCAGATGCTCCACATGGAGCAGGAGTGTTCCCTTTGGTGCTCAGACAAAGCTTATTCCCCCTCTGTTTGCAATAAGGAACTCAGCAACAAATTTCTCCCACCAGAGAGACTCCCAGCCCAGGCAGGAAGGTGGCAAGAGGCTCCCGAGGGGAAGGTCTGGCCCCGGGCTCCCAGCCCTGAGGCTGCAGACAGTCATTCCCCTGCTCAGCACATCCATCTTTAATTGGGTGTAATAATAATTTTATTGCTTGCTGGGATTTGTGAGGCTGAACTAATATTTGCAAAACGCTTTGCTATCCTCTGCTGAAAGGCAACCCGGAGCGGCAAAGCCCCTGTGCCATTCACATCGGGATAATCCAGAATTATTCATAAACAAAATCAAGATTATGCAAATATATTCATTAGTTCTCAGCATACCTCCAGGAAAATAGAGGAATTAGTCTTGTTAACAATTGTATATTATGTAAGCGTGCGGCTAAGCACACAGACACGCTCCCCATCCACCTGGGGCTCATCCCAGGCTCTTGGAACACTGCAGAAAGAGGTGAATTTGGGCTCAGGGTGGTCCCAATGTGCCACTGTCCCCTCGCTGTCCTTCGGCATGGTGTGACCAGTGCCCAGCCTTGTGCCCAGGACACGACGGGATCAGCAGATAAAGGTGCGCTGAAAACACTGCGCAGTTTAATTAATGCCACATGCCTCTCACTACATAGGTTGTGTGGGTTGTTAATTATTTTTATAAAGAAAATAATTAGTCCCAATCAAGGCAGAAGCTCTCCAGAATTACAGCTCATTAACTGCTCTCACATTTTTTCTGTTCTATAAAAAGTCGCGTGGTGCTGATGAAAATTATAGACCCTTGGAATCAGCATTAAATACAAATTCAGACAGTGTTACCATCCCATTACCATCAACTGCATCGACTTGGCTTTGATAATTGCAGCTGGAGATGAAGTGCAGGGATTTCTGCTCTGTGCAATCTCTGCAAACAAGCGCTGTGCCCATCAGCCTGCCGGAACCAACGTGACACCGAGCAAACGCAGCCCTGAGGAGGGCACAGCCACCAAGGAGACTGGGAAGGCTTTTGTGGGTGGATGATTGGATGCTCGGGTTTGGGGCAAAGGGGACAGGCAGCAGCCTGGAAGCAGTGGGTTTATGATGTGGGACATGGGACACATGGGATCACAGAATCATTAAGGTTTGAAAGACCACTGAGGTCATCTGGTCCAACCCTAATCCGTGCCGTGTTCGCTCCAGACCACATCACTCAGTGCAACATCTGCACTTTCCTTGAACATCTCCAGGGATGGAGACCTGACCACTCCCTGGGCAGCTTATGCCACTGCATCACCAGCAGATGCTCCAGGGGGAATGCAGGAGCGCTCCGAGCACCTTCAGCTGGGTCATCCCAGGGCTGGTTCTATTGAACGATGCAGAGGCTTCATTCAAAGCCTGATTGAAAGAAATCAGAGCATGGTAAAGTGAGGTCAGGGCAAATCAATAGCAGAGCGGTGGGGAGGGTGAGCGGGGTGCTGGCTCTGCTGCTTCTGCACCATGAACAACAAGGTGAGCCCCATCCTTTGCTCCATGAGGAATATAGCTGAGAGCCAGAATGTGGAATTGGAGGAGGAATGGAAAGTGGGGATGGGGGCAGTGAGCAGAGTGACCCCGGAGGAGCAGCACTGAGCCCCATGGCCTTGGTCCTGCTGACCAGGCTGGAGCTGGGCCAGCTGCAGCCAGCTGCTCATTTCATTAATGGAGAGACATCAATTAAACATGGAGTGTTGAACGGGGTTGTCAGCAGATCAATTAGCCCCAACCTCAGCATGGGGACTCAGGGACTGTTTCAGCCCCAAGATGCCCTGCGCAAGCACTCCTGCCCCAAAAGAGGCCATTTTCAGCCAAACCCTGCCCCAAAAGAGGCCAATTCCAGCCAAACCCTGCCCCAAAAGAGGTCATTTTCAATCCAAATCTGCCCCAAAAGAGACCAATTTCAGACCAGTCCCACTGTCCTTAGAAAAGGGCAAGAACAGTGCAGGGACTGCAGTGCATTCCCCAGCACCTTTCTCTCTTTTAATAGAGTTTGTTCCTACTTCCAGTTCTTTAAGCTCTCTTCGCAGTCCCTGCTGCACTAGCAGGGAAGGCACTTGTGAGAAAAAAAAAAAAAGAAAAAAAAAATTGCTATTTTTACACTCCCAGTGTTTGTCAGCACTTTCAGCTTACCCGTGGAGGGGAGGTGGTGGCACCAGGACTGCATCGCACCAGTGCACCATCACTGCTCCTGTGCCAACGGGCCCCATTCCTCTGCCTGCTGAGCACCAATGGGTTCCAAATTGGGGTGTCCCTTCTGGGCACCCAACTGTCCCTCAGTTGCTGTATGGTCACGCAAAGTGCCCAGCCCCACTGCCAACCCCAGGCACAGATGGGATTTTATGCCCTGCTCTGGGCTTTGCAATGGCAGAGAGGTTTCAGTGGCCACGGGAAGAAAAGGTAAGGAAAAAAGAAAAAGAGAACGAAGAATTGCAGTCATGCATGAAATGATTTCATTTCACTGAGGAAGGGATTGCCTTTGGAAAGTTCATATTATGGAAAAACGCACATGAAGGTCCGACTGCAGGGAGAGGGGCAGGGAGGGGGAGTGGAGAGCCCCAGCCCTATGGATGGGTAAACCCCCCCCAGCACTGACCTGCCCACGTCTCACAGCCCCAAATATTTGTTAGTTAAACCTTAAAGGAGTGGTGCAGGGTTATGAGCCCTCTCCAGACGGTCCTGTCATGCCAAGATGGGCTAAGTCATTTTTTTGGACACATCTCCCATTCCTGAGTCGGTGTCAGGAATGGGGTGGGGGAAGATTAGCCTCATGTGGTTTCCTGCAGCCCCTCACCCTAATGGGGACCCGAAGCCCTGCAGCCCCTCACTTTGTCCCAGATTCATCCTCCAGAGCTCCACAAGACCCCGTGCTGCCACACCGTGCCCTGGGACGCAGACAGTGCCTTTGGGGACTGATGAATTTTTACCATTGGGAATCACCCCAGCACCAAGCCAGGAATGGGGCTGAGAGAAGAGGAACACAAGGAGGAGGAAGGCTCTATGGCTCCTGTGGGCATCCCCGGTTCTGCTCTCACCCCCAGCAGCCCTCGAGCTGCCTAATGAGTGCAGCCGCCGTGCAGCTGGAGCCGGCGGGCAGGGGCTGACAAAGCCGCCCTATTGACGGCGCCCCGAGCACGGGGGCTTTGCTTCTCCCCCCTCTGCTTTCCTCCTCCAGGCCCGCTCCCCCCGCTGGGCCGCGGCCATGGGCTCATTAGCGCTGCGGCTCGTTGGGCGCAGGAAGGAGCAGATGGCAGCCAGGCCCCGCTGAGCAGATGCCCGATGGACAGGGGGGGGATTAGCGGAGCTGGGGGCCCTCCGGCAGCACAGCCCGGTGCTGACACGTGGGGACCGAGCAGGATGGTGGGGGATGAAGGAATCAGTGATGTGCCCGGAGAGCTGCAGGTTGGGGTGGCAGAGAGCTGGGCCCCATCTCAACCCTGAAATCACTGCCGATTGCAAATTGGGCAGTGAAACCACGTGTAGCACAACACATCCTGGGGGATTAGGGGTTAAAATAAATCCCTGCACTGGCCCGGGGTGACCCACTTCAGCCATCTGGCAGCAGGGATGCGGCTGGTACTTGGGGTGCCAGTGGGCAGTGGCAGCCCCGTGCCCCTTGGTGGGAGAAGCAGCATCCCACAGCTGCTCCGTGGGGCTGTGCGCAGGTAATAACGATAATGAACAGCCACCCACTGCCTTAAAATAAAAGACTCAGCAAGAAGAAAGTGGAGATGGAAAAGGAGGGACTTCAGCTCTTCCCTCTGTGCCACAGTATTCAGTATCCACTTTGCTCTATGGAGTCAAGGGCAGACCCCTGAGTGCAGCCCCTGGCTGGGCACGAGTGAGATTAATGTATTCTTTTGTTCCAGATGAAATGTGGCTTTAGCAGGGCTTTAACCCTGCAAACCCCCTAGAGTGCCTGTCGGGAATTAGGATGGAAGAGGCTTTATCTGCAGGGCTGGACACCCTGGGGAAGCACTGTACTCTGATCTGGGGCTGTGCATGGACCCAAAAGGCAAGAACCCCACAGACCTCTCCGGGAGGAGGAAAATCCCCTTCTGCAATGGGAACCCCACGCTGCCCGCATCTGCCAAGCTGGGAGGAAACAGGGACACAGATGGTCACCGTAGTGTTGTGCTGGGCTCCCTGCTCCCTTCATCCCTCTGCCTGCTGGCACAGAGGGCTTTGCTCTTAGATCAGTTCTGCAGTGAAGCCTTTGGGATCGCAGCCCAGTTGTGAAAATGCTGTAAGAGCCACTGCTGCCCATGGTGCCCCAAGCTGAGCTTCCCCGATCTCCAAACCTGATCGATCACTAACGGAGAAGTGGAAGCATTCAGTGACCTCAGTGTGGGTCCCCATGGGCTCTCAGATGTTTGGTGCAGGCTGATCCCCCAGCCCTCTCCTGCACCGATCCAACACCTTCACTAAACTCTGGTGACACTGAGCAATGGAAAGAAGCTTCGCTCCCTTTGAAAAACAGTGCAAAGATGCTCTTAGCCAATATTGTGACAGCCAACAGAATAAAAATGTTCTGAATTTGAGGATGTGTTGTTGTGAGGAAGTCACACAAATCCCTGCGCATCCCAGCAGAGCTCAGTGGGTACCAGCAGCCCCTCAGTCCCATTTTGTGTGGTCTGACCCTGCTGCCCTGGGCTTTGGCTCCAAGGGAAGGAGGGGGACAGACAACCAGAGGGACATGTGCTGGGGGCTGCATGGCTGAGCCCCCACCCCAAAACTATAATCCAGCCCCTAACACTACTCCAGGCTCCAAAGAGCCAAAGTTTTCCACTTGGGGAGGGGGGAACAGAAAGCTCAGATCCCCCAGCCGCAGGCAGCCCCTGTGACCCCAGCCCCTAAATAAGACATTTGCAGAGGGAAGCAGCCCTCAAACCGAGGGTTCCCCACGCCCTTACCTGGGCAGCGGTTTGCGGGCGGTGATGCTGGCCACGATGATGCTCTCCGGTCGCGGTGTGGCCACGGCTTTGAAGGTTCCTCGCCAGAACTTCTCGAAGAGCTGCTTCTCGCCCTGCTGCACGCTGGCCATGGCCCCGGCACGGCTCGGCACGGCCGCTCTCCGCGGTGCTGATCTCTACATCCCTCCTGACCGCGCACGGCTCGGTTCGGTGCCGGCTTGGGTTCAGTCCAAGGTTTAATGAGGGATATCCCGTTTCGGTAGGGTTGGAGGGGAGAGTGTGAAGCCGAGCCAGCTCCCGGCTCCCGTTTTGTGGCAGCGAGGCGGGGAATGGGGCCGGGCCCGCTCTTGTCCCCTCCCCGGTGCCGCCTCCCACAGCTGCTCTGCTGGGAGCATCCCTGGACCAAGAGCATCCTTGGCTGGGAGCACCAGGATGGTCCTCGTGGGGCCCATTTCGGCTGCGCAGGAAGCATCCCGGAGCTCTCGGCCCTTGGAGGGGATTTGTCTCTTGCAGCACAAGGGACAGTGACCTTGGATGGATGTGCTGCTCCCTGGCGTGTCTCGCAGAGCCACGTGCTGATTTATGTAAGCAACTGGGGGATAATGGAGCCAGCAACAATAGCCAGGAACAATAGAGAAAGAAGAAAAATCACAGAGGACTTGAGCACTTTCTTGTGATAAATACACGTGCAGCAGGGCCAGCTCCATCCCATCGCTGCAGCTTGGTGCCCAAATGCCCAATCGGGCACTGGTACCTGCCCTGAGGTTTGCAGGATGCAGCTAACAGCCGAGGTCCCCGTGCACCATGTAACATTTCCACCATTCCCCTCTTTAACCCCACAGCCATCCCCACCAGTCCAGACCCTGTCCCTGGGGCTGGAGACTGGAGTTGTTTGAAACACCCCCAGATTTGCTGCCAAACACTGGGGATAATAAATATTTGCACTATTAAATTAGCAGCACGGGTGGTGTGTGTGCAGGGGGAAGGCAGTGATTGTTACAAGCAGAAACCTCTCCTGGCGTACCTCATGGAGACATCAGCGAGCTAATTAAGCAATTGGCTCCGTTAACGGAGGCTCCTAGGAATACACTTCCCCACTATAGAATAACTGCGCTGTAATAAATTGCCTCATAAATAAACAGCCCAAAAAAGCAACATAAGATGCCCAGAAAAAGCTCTGTGCGATAAGCAGAGGCGATGCTGGGTGCTACCGGCACTACCAGCGCAGTCCCAGCACCACACCCTGCAGGGAGCAGCCCCGTGGGGATGCTCCATCCCCTTTTTCTTCCCCCCCCCTTCCTAAGGGCCCAGCCCCCCTTACCCACCCCAGTCCCAGATTTTGATTTGGGAGATGACAGCCAAAAGCTGCCCGGGGCATTCGGCTGCTGCCATGGATGAGCACAGGGAGCTCAGCAGGACGGATCTGCGCCTGCTGAGAGGTACCCAAGGGGAAGAAAGCAGAAAATGTGTTTACCCAGGATTACATTTTAATCTCTTCTCCCTTCCAGAGTGAATAAAGCTGGGTTTGTCCTGGAGCTGGACAAATATTTTTCTATAGATGTCGTATTATTCCTTGGTTTTGGATTGCTCGCTTTGTGCTTTACACATTGCAGAACCTGGTGGATACTGATTGCCCACTGCAGCTGCTATTCCGTGCCCATTGGTTCTTGTAGTCCCCAAATACCCAACAAAGCAGAACCGAGCCTGTCCCTGTGGTCCTGTGGCCAGGACAGTGGCATTGTACCATCCTGTGACTTTGAGGGCATCTCCATCCATACCTCTGTTCCCACTTTGCTCCCCATGAATGAAGGCTCTTCGGCAGCCTGGTTTTGCACAAAACCTCCCTGTATCCACCTCCACCCGTCTTCCAGCCAAGCAGGTTTCCTGCAAATGCAGAAAATCAATAATTACCTCTGGAAGTATTCATTAGAACTCAAGAGTCAATAAACAAAGGCTGTGAGTACCCTCTATTCATTACATTCAGCAGCACCTACCAATTATTCCCTCTGCTAAGCCAGTCCCAGCAAGCGGTGGGGAGATTCTGGTTGTACACTGAGGATGCAGCACGTCTTGTGTCCATCCCTCCCATGCCAGCATTCATCTCTCCCTTTAGAAACATCCATTTCATGGAAAGTTTTCCCCATTGAGAAGCTCCCAAGAACAGCCCCCCACCATTGGGTCCATTCACTGTCCCCACAGCTGGGAACATCAAACGATGAGGCTTTGGAGGTGACTTTGGAGGGGAGAGAGAAAAGGGTAAGGAGAAAAAGCCCTTTTTTCCTTGAAATAGAAGTAGGGAGATGCATTGCCCTACAGATGTGGGAAGGTGGACATTTTGGAAGCTGGTGGCATCACCATTGTCACCAGGTTGGCACCACCCGCATGGTGATAGACATTCCCATCCCATCCCAACCCATCCTCTGCCACCCTGTCCATCCCTTCCATGGGGCTGCCCCATCTCAACTCAACCCATCCCTCCCTTCCATGGAGACATCAGCTGGAGCAGGCTTTTTCCAAGTTCCATTCTGTACAGTTTCATGGCCTTGTGCGCCGTGCAGGGGGACAGGCACCCCTCTCACTAATGCAGCAATTAGACGTGTTCACATTAACCAGATAATTAAGCAGAAAGGCACTAATTGAATAAACAGGAGAACTGAATGCCAATGACATGGGGAGAAAGGAGGCTGGGGATGAGTGGCTGAGGGACAGCCACTGCCATGCAAGCTTTCAGAGCTGCGGAGAACAAGCAGAGGATTTGGGGAGCAGACACTTCCTGCTGAGAAGCGTTAATAGAATGCGGAAATGTTTTACTGCACTGTGATTTTAGATATTTTTGAATGCAGCTGCAGCTCCGTTCCATTCCGGGCTAATTTAAGCTCCAGTTAAACCAGACTAAATTACAGCCCCGGGAACTGATGTGACAGGGAATGCATCCAGGAGCCCCAAATCCTGCTGACCTTGCTGTCTCCTTCCAACTGGACTGGACTGGACTAAGAGCCCCTGGCAAAACATCACTGCATGTCACCAAGGGACTGCAAGCAACCCTCGGTGCCCTCTGGTTTCCAGCTGAGCAGGGCAGGACCCCGTTGTTCTGGGACCAGCAGGATTAGCCTTGGGGACAGGAGACAAGCGAGCCCCAGTGGGATGGATGTGCCACCCCAGCTGTGGAACCCACAGCCCCTCTGTTTGCTCCAGAAGACCAAGTGGTTGTCTGAGACCAAAGCAGCAAAGGTCAGGGGAGCAGAGGCTGTTTGCCCTCAGATTTATTATTATTTTTTAATAGAATAAAGAGGAGATTATTAGATACAATTAATTGTTCACACTGTACAGGAGATGAAAGTGTGGGGAGTAAGCAGATGCCGGTCACGATTCGGCGCTCATTAAGGCAAGAGCAAGATTCATCTCGTACACATGATTAACTCCTGGCCGCTGATGATTTACATGGCAGATGATCAAAAGAGAATTAATTACCCCACAAACAGGGCTGCCTCCAGTCTGGCCCCAGCAGTGCTGCTAGCGGTAGAGCCCTCGGTCCCCAAAACTGAGTCCACAGCCACCACACTGCTCAGACAACTGCACTGCAGCCATTCCCTGCGAGCAGCTGCAGAACAGGAGATCCAGGCACATTCCTCCGCCACCAGGGATGCTCTACCCCACTGGGTTCCTCCATCCAAGAGAGAAGCGCATGCCTAAAGCCCACAGAGCCCAACCCAAGCCAGGGCATCTGCTGGCCCCCCAACTTAGCATCCGTTGCTCAGATAATAAACCTGTGCTGATTGTCACCTTTATTTTGAAGATATGAACTCCTGCAGGAGTCACCTTCAGCACTCGGCCCTTCCCAAGGTGGTGGGAGATGAGCTGATTGCATGCAACTGATTAGCAATTAGCCTGGCATGCTCCAGCTGTAAATACGGACACCAGGGCTGAGGAGGAGGAACCTGGGGGGGTCCTGTGTGCTGATATTGATAAGGAGAGGGGCACACAGACCCTGCACAGAGGAGCAGATTCCAAAATAATCTCAAGGATTTTGGCAGCCTGCAGCACTCGAGTCCCAGAGGGCACTGCATCCTGCTGTCTGTCCAACTGCATAAGAATTGTGTCTTTAATATGGGGCTGGGATATGGGCCCGTAAATAACATGCCATAACATAATTTACAGATTGGTATAGGCTGTTAATGGCTGGGGGATGCTTGGGGACAGCTCCTCTTCCAACTCCAAGGGGTTCGGAGTCCCTAGGGGGCACAGGGCTGGCATGGTGACAGGGTTCCAGCCCCAAGGGACTGAACTGAGCCCAGATCACCCAGCGCCACTGCCCCCAGGACCATGAGGTTGGCACGCGCCTGTTGCAAGTTTCCATCTCTCTGCCCATAGCTTTTAGAGGCACTCAGCTGCAGATGGTCTCTGTGACCCGAGTCCCCATTCCCATGGGATTTAAAAGCCTCAGCGTAAAAGAAATTAATAACAAAGTGAATTGTACTTGAAGGCAGCTACTGGAGTGAGGAAGGCAATGCCTGGAGCTCAGGGGCTGTGGCAGTGCAGGCGAGCGAGACGTGCTCCGTGGTCCTGCAGTGCTGGCAGTGATGGATGAGTCCACTTCCAGAGCAGACTGAACCAGGGTGGCTGAAAACCAAAGCGTGCCGAGGGCCAGCATGCTGCCTGCCCAAAACACTGCATGCAGAAGTCTGATGGCACTGTGGCAGAGGCCAGTGGGAGTCTGGGTTCTGCCAGCCCTGCCTCAGCGAGCTGGGAGGGGTGGGTTTGCCCCTTGCTGTCCCATGAGGTTTGAATGGATGTTCAGCCCTCATGCTGCTCCTGGCCCATGGTGTTTGATTCAAGAAAAGAACTTGGAGAACCTCAAGCCAAAATCTCTACAATGTCATCTAAAGGCTACGTGGGTTCATCCTCAGTCTTTCCCCAGCCAGCAATGCAGAGATCCCAGCTCTCTGCAGAACACACGTCTCAGCTGCCCAGGGAGGGCAACTGGGATCCCACCTCCCCATCCCCCCCTTGTCTGACAAGGCCAGAAATCACCCACTCAGTCTTCAAGCAGCGGTTCAAAGCTTTTACAACACTCTCAAGATTAACTAGCAGCTGAAAAATAATCCAGGATAAGTCTTATCAAGGCATAAGAAGCATGACATGGCCGAGGAGCCAATACAGCAAAAGGGTCTACGTTCCAGCTCAAATCCAATCCCTCCTGGGAGAACGCAGCCTCCTCCCCTAGCAAAAAGGAGTTAATTCCAACCAGAGAGACACGGCAAGCAACCCTACCTCAGGCTGAGCAGAGCTCCGGAGGCTCCCTGCTCATGTTGGTCCCATTCCTGCAGACCCCTGCCCCTCACAGGTGCACGCAGGGCCTAGAAGACCTCCAACATGCCCCAAAACATTGGGTTCACACTTTGGATTCTCCTCGTGGCGATGACATCTCTGCTCCAATGGCTGTGGCTGTCCCCCTGACATTGCTGCAGGATGCACAGAGCTCCCCATGCCCCACAGCTCCCTCTGCATGAAGGCATCACCACTTTACCTCCAAAACCCCTCTCCCCAGACACCGCCTCAAAGTGTTTGCAAGTAACAAATAAATAATCAGCGACAGCAAGCTGGCTGCACCAGAACATTTATTTCATATAATGCACCATTTATTTTCAATTATCATGGTGCTTTCCCCTCTCCCTCCCCGTGCACTTGGCAGATCACTGGTGGAAAGTTTGCAGAGTTGCAAAACGTCCTCATATGAGATGCACCAGGGAATGGGGAGGGATGGCAGCAGGGTGGGAAGGACGGACAGACACCTTGGGGCCGTGGGAGTTGCTGGGTTGGGTTGTGGTTTCCAAGCTGGTGACAAAACCACCAATCCCACCCCACAGCCCCCCGTGGCCAAGAGACCTCCACACTTCCCATGCCCTTGGGTGGGGATGGGCTGCTGCACTGCCTTACACCTGCGCTCCCACCAGCTCTGTTATTCCCACCTCTGTCTCAGTCAAAACCATTTAAAGCTCTCTGACATATCATGAAGGATTTTCCAGTGGGGTTCAGAGACCAAGATTTGTATTGAGAAGCCCAAATTTATTGGATTAATGCTATGGACCAAAACCACGGCCGCTTAACAATTGGAGGATCTGTATTTTACAGCAACGTAACTAATAAGGCCATTAATACAAACTGGGCTCACTCCTGACATTTATATAGCCGTAAATCTCTCTCAGCACTGGAATTATTTATGCCATCCCAGGCACTCGAGCAGTGCTGTCGTCCTTTATCAGGCTGAAAGATTTAAGCCAAGAGACAATGATGCTAACTGTAATGAAAGGGAGCACGAGCAAAGCGAGGACGGCGCTGGCACAGCAGGAGCAAGGCCATGACCCGACCAGAGCATGCCAGGAGCAAATGCAATCCCTGCTATTAGGCTTTGGGGGCAGCTCCCCATTTCCAGCAGCAATAAGGTCAGGGCACCTGCAGCCCAGGTGCTTAAGGTCAAGCCCTTTAGGATGCATCTATGCCTCAGGTCTGTCTTGAGCAAAGAAAACTTGGAGAGAGAGAAGCAAATAAATCTGTACAGAGCAAGGAGGCCCAAAAAGCAGCCCCAAGCAGCACAGAAAACTGTAAACAGGGAGAGGAGAGGGTGTGGGTGGTGGGAGCAGAGAGCAGCCTGCCAGCCCTCTGTGTGCACTAATTATTTCTGGCATTATCTGCGCCGACAGATAAGGTTTTCATTAATAAACTCAAAGAGGAGAGGGAGGGTGTGGGGGGAAGGGAGAAGCAGCAGCAGCTGAGAGCTGCAAATTGGCCACAACCAGCAGCAAAATGCAATCAGGTGCAGGGAGCAATGGGGGGCCCAGCAGCAGTGGTGACAGCAGAGGGGACATGGGGGACAGTAATTAGCAGCAGTTCCTTTCCCTGCTCACCGCTGCTTCGCAGGCTGCCTCCTAATTCACTGCACGTTGGAAAAGAAATAGTCAGTGATCTTTCATAGCAGGGCCTTATTAAGCCCACTATCTGCAGTTATTTAATTGGATGAGATTCAGCCAGGGTAGCCTGGGATGCAGGGAGGGTGCATCACTGCACTGCCACCGTGCTCCTGCAACAAGCATGCAGGCAGATGTGCATGCAGGGGGTGATGGGCTGCAGGGATGCTCAAGCCATGGATTTTAACTTATCTCGTGCAGGTTGTGGTTACACAAAAGGGGGAAAGGGAAACTCTAGATCCTGCTCAGGGCATTGGGGCTGGGAGTCAAGGGGTAGGATGATGCAGGATGTTGTGCATTCGGACAGACTTACAGGAGGCAGGAGGATGGACGGATGGGGTCACAAAGCCACAGCAATTAGCAGGAGCAGGCTGGTCCCCTCCCAGCCCCGATTTCCATGGCAACGTTGTGGTTCAGCACATTTCTCCATGCACAACCTCACCGCAAAGGTCATGACAGCACGGCAGAGGAAGATGCCTGGCCCTGCTGAAACAAATCATTAAAACATGGACAAAAGAGTGCAACCTCCCCAAAAAGCTCAATTCTGAAGACGCCTCCATCCCAAACAGCCACCTCAGGGTGCACACACCAGGGTCAGCAGCAGCCCCTTGCTCTATTTCCATTGCTCACAGCCAGCACGAGTGGCACTTTCACCAGATTCACCACTCCCCTGGTCCCGGGTTGCTGCTCTCTGATTGCTGCTAAGAGGACACAGCATCCCAAACACAAAGATGTGCAGCTCTTTGCTCTCCAAGGTGCAGAGCCACAGGGTCTCTGGCAAACTGCATCTGCAGAGGGCATGGAGAGAGACTGGGAAGGTGGGAAGAGGATTGCTGGCTGCTTTGATGCTCTCCTTAAACCATGGGCTTTGCAAAAGAAGTGAGAGCTGCACACAGGTGAAAGGACAATATTTCCCAAGGCAGAGTGAGTTGCCATCCTGGTAAATACTTCATTAGGGGTCAAACTGCTAGCACAGGGAGTTCTACCTGCAGAGATTTATCATCTGTTTGAAACAGCAGCAGCTTATCAGAAAGGATTTCCTTCTGCATGAAACCAGGAGTGAGTCTGCATCCACGCTCAGCTTTTTAAAACCAGCACAACCTGATGGATGCCCTCGTGCTATCCAAAGCAGAGCCAGCTCAGGAACCGGGGCAGCTTGGGCCCCTCACTCTGCTTTTGCCCAGTGGGCAGAAGGTGCAGGGACCACAGGTGTTCTCCCAGCCTTACAGGAGTCTTCCAGGTGCCCATCAGCACGGAGAGCCAGAAGAGAGGGCATGCCAGCCAGAGACCTGCATCTCATAGGGAAAAAGGCTGAGACTGAGCTTTGAAAGGTAAGATGAAAACTCCTCGTGTAACTAAAGCTTTCCTGAGCAAAGCTGGAAAAGACAGATCTATTCACAGGCAGAAATCTCCTAAGAGGAGTTCAGAGCAGCAGCAGAAGAGAAGCTTTGGGCAGTTCAAAGAGACATTGTCCTGGGATGGAAGCTCAGGATGGAGAGGTAGCCATCAACAACCTCACAGAAGCACCTCCTTTCTCACACCTCACGTCACTTACTGAGGAGCTGAGCAATAAGAACTCCCTTTTCCAGATGATGGTAATGGCAGCGACCTATCCTGCTTGGTTGTAATTAGCTCCAAAATCACTGCAAACCTGCGCAGCTGGTTTGGACTTCAGTCCTCCAAAACGAAGCTAAGCTGCAAGAAAGCAAATAGAATCCATCCTGGTTAATTATTTGTTATTAATTGTCAAAAAAAAAAAAAAAAAAGAAAAAAGATGGGTTGATGAAAGGACTTGGTAAGCAGAACAGCGCGAGTGTACTTGAAGGCAAGCGCTGTAACAGGATCCGAGAGCAAGGCTTGTCATAATCCACGGGCTGTTAATTATCTAAACACTGGTCCCTCGGAGCTGCATGAGTGAGGATTAATTAGTTTTTGAAATAATAGCTAAATTGATACTGGGAAGGAGTTTGGGTTCCAAAATAACGGCTGAAAATTAGCCAGCTTGTTTCTGTGCTTCTCTCTGCCATGCTCAGAAGGACATTTGTCTCTGTTGTTTTGCCAGAAAAGGGCCATTAATCACAGCGGCAGATGGCCCTTCCCAGACCTGTCGTGCTGCAGAGAGACAAAAGGGAGGCGGAGGAGAAGGAGGAAGCAATCACCTACAAGTGTTGGGAGAAAGAAATCCTCAGAACCGGCGAAGAGCAACTACGGAGAGCATCCTGCAGGAGAGCTGGATCTGCCCAGAGTAACTGGTGGAGATGGAGGACGTCTCCCACAACAGGCAGGTGCCTACAGGAAAGGGTCTGACCGTCTCCAAAACAAATTTCCAGCATCCCCAGCCCACCCCACCTTGCCCACATCCCTCAGTGCCACATCCCCACGGCTCTGGAGCTCCTGCAGGGACGGTGAGCCCAGCACTCCCTGGGCAGCTGTGCCACTGCATCGCTGCTTTTTTGGAGAAGAAACTTCTCCTTGTGTGCTCTGCCCATCCTCCTGCCAATGGGAGACACGGAGGCCTTTCCCTCCCCTCTGTCCCACGCTGCTTCGTGCACATTTTTGGGGCACCCTGGGAAATCAGCTCAGTGTGGCAGCAGGGAGGAAGCAGCCAGCCGAAGATGCAGCATTAATCAAGACACAGAGCCCGTTGTCTTGAAAGAGTGTCTGCTCCATAAAGTACGCACAGCTGACACGTGTGAAACCCTCCACAGCGTTTACTGATGTACATTACCTTGGCTTTTATGGCATAATAAATAACGGGGGAGAGACAGACACCCATCCCCTAATCAGCAACGGCAGCAAGGAGGGGATAAATGTTTGGCTGGGGGGAAAGCTCCCTTCACTGACACCTTCCAGAGCCACAAGGAACCCACAGACCCCCCCATGAGCGTGAGTGCTGTCCAATAGTGACCCAAAGGAGGGCAGCTGACACTCAGGTCTGCTCTTACTCTGCACCTCTTCTCTGTAGCATCAAACCTCAGTGGTTTGGTATGCTACACAGGAGGCTTAAACAGAGCTCAGAGGAAAGATCCTATTAGATAAGAGTGAACACAGCAGGCCTGTAGCTGAGGGAAGCCACTCCATCTCCGGGAGGCTTGGTTTATCAGCACAGGGCTCAGGCACACTGAGAACCCACCGCAGTGTCAGGCGGCGAGCAGCAAACATCTCATTAGTTACAGCAGGGCTCCCGCTGCTCTGCCAGCCAGCACCAGGCCTGCTTGGAATGGGGAGCAGAGTTCCCTCCTGGAAGCAAATCAAAGGCAGCACAGAGGGGGGTAGCACACCTTGCTGCTGCCGCTGCAGCGCCGTCCTCCTGCTCCTGGTCTCACTCCACTGCAATGCCTTAGCTAGACAAATCGCTCACACCACGGGCAAGAGAAGCCAAGTGGATGTCGTCTCCTTGGCCATTACTCTGATTTTTCATCCTTCGCTTGCTGTGAATAAAGAAATGAGAGTGAGAGCGGCAGCCCCCAGCCCAGGCTGCAGTGCACAGTCAGCTGCACAGCATCCATCCTCAGCAGCCACAGCAGGGCAAGGAGCACTGCTTTGCCCTTCATCGTCCAGCAAGCACTGATTTATCTCCAGGTGCTGAGAAGCAGTGTGGCTTGCAAGCATCCCTTCAGCAAACCAGAGCCTGGTGGTGCTCCCTTCTCCTGCACAGGGACCCGAAGCAATTCCTGCTTTTGGGTGCCCCCTCCAGAAACAGAAGTGAGGGCAGCAGCAGTGTTCTCAGCATGGGCTCTTCTCTTTGAGCCCTCAGATTTTTTCCAGTCCAACCTCAGGTTTTTTGGGCTTCCCAGTCCAGTGAGTGCTGTAGGGAGAGCACTTTCCTGATTCCCTTCAAGCTTTTTTCCTAGCTCTGGGGAGGAAGGTGATTTTTCATTCCTTTTTAAAAGGTGATTAAGTGCTGCGTTTGTAAAAACACTTCATTCTGGGAAACAAATTATGTAAAATACACTCAGTGGGATCTAATACAAACTGATACCATCAGCTAGCAACAGGGGCTCCGCAGCCAGGATTTGCTTTCCAGGGGCAATGCTGAGCCGCCTGGACAATCTGCTGATCTGCTCCAGCCCAGGGTCTCACAGTCTCCTGGTGACCCTGAAGCATGTATGGAAGGAGCCAGCTGCCTGCAGGCATCTATCTGCCAGTCCATGTCCCTGCTGGGTGCCCAATGGCCAGCAGGGCAGCGAGGGAGAGACCAGTCTGAACTAGGCAGGGCTGCTGCACAGGTCTGTCAGTGTAGCACGTCTGGATCTCTTGATGCTGCTTATTTTCACCATTCATGCTTGTTTCTCCTGAGCTCTTTTGTTGCTGTTCACCATGCTGAGGCACTCCCAGGCGCACAGAAGAGCAGCTGGATGGGGTTTCTTTACCCATCAGTGGGTTTCAAGGCAGCTCCAGGGGATGTGTGAGCTGCCACAGGCCTCGACCAGTGTGCACCCAGCAAGATACAAAGCTGGCTGGACACAGCTTCCCATGCCCCGCATCAGTAATGATAGGAAACGATGCTGCTTCCCTGAGGACAGGCTACTTGTCAGGGCAGGTGGCTGCAGCAGAGAGGAAAGGAGCTCTTACTTTTTCTGGACAGGCTGAAGGATGCTCCAGGGGAAAGCACAGCAGGCAGGCAGCGTGCTGGATTGAGAGGGAGACCAGTCAGGAGCCCGTCTTCTGTACATCACTGATGAAAAAGGAAGAAAAGAGAAATCAAGATTTCCTGCCCCCAATTTGCTGACTCAGTAATGACTCAAGGGACTAAATTTAGTTACTGAAGTGCTCAGCAGCAGGGCGAGCGGCTGTTGGCCTCTCCTTAACCTTATTACAAGACCTTTCAAGCATATCTTTCTCCAGCTCAGAAGGGATTCTGCTCACGCTCCAAGGGGACTGTATGGCACCTTTGAAAGCTGGAAGAAAGCAGATGTACGTACATAGGTACACACAAGGCTTCCCAGTGCCAACGCAAGACCTGGGAGTGGAGAGAAGCACTTGTGAGCATCATGCTTGTTGAGTCACCATAGCAACAGGGAGTTTTTAAAAGCAATTAGGTGTGGGTTCATCTGTGCTGCTCAGAAGGATCGCAGAGCGCTGCCTCTCCTCCCTGCAGCTCCTGCACAGGGGGCTCCTATGGCAGAGACAGGCATGATGGCTCCGGCTGCATGGCCACGGGCAGACCTGGAGCAGCTCTGCGAGTCAGCCAGGTGCTGGCACACAGCTCAGCCTGGTCCAAGCTGTGACCCAGGCCTATTTCTCTAGCCAAGACACAACGAGGTGGAGCCAAATGCTTCCCAACTGTACAAAAGTATAAATTCCTAACAGCAGTGATAGCATCTCCTGCATCGCAGCTTGAGCCGTCCGCAAGCTAAGCCGATTCCATGCTTTGACCCGTTTCCACGAGGTCAATCATTACATAACCCCACAACAAACCTCCATCGACCATCTTCCAGGAGCACGGAGCTGGTGGGTAGCTGAGCTGTGCTGCCTGGAGCTCAGGACCTGAGCAAAGGCGATGGGGGTGACCCAGAGCTCCTGTTCTGCCCACCCTGAGCCACCCAGCACTGCAGGAATAGAAACAGATCCATGCACATCACGAGGGAATGGCATCAGCCCCATCCAGACTACAAAAACACGCACTCTGCTCTCCCAATTCCTATAGCTAAGAGCTTTTTGCCTCTTTTTTTTTTTTCACCCCCCCCTCAATATGCTAAAATTCAGTTCCTCCTCCTCACTGCCAGAAATTCCCATGTAGTTTCTCATCACATCTTTTTACCTCCCTTCAAAATTCCTGTATTTTCAAGGATCTGTATTGGACGAACTGCTGTTGAGCTGTTGATTTCCAGCTCCCCACACCCCCTTGCATTTTCCTCTTATTTTTCTGCACTGCCTGCTCACAGAGGCCGTTCTGCCACCAACAGCTTTTTGGCCATTCAATAAAACAATTCTCACCTTTATATCTGAGTGCTTGCTCAGGGCTGACCCAGCCCACCTAATGCCCTATGACTCACCCTGGCTGGAGACGTTTCTCTTCGCATCAAGGAACTTTCCAGAGACCTGAGAGCTGCAGAAGCACGGGGTATTTGGTGCCTATGCTATTCTTCAGCATCAACCTCCCCTCTTTATGAACCAGAGATAGGATTTAGCATTTACCCAATGTGCACAGCTTGGGATTGCATGTGTTTGGGAGCTGGAGCAGATTTCACTTTGCTCTGGCAACCAGGCGCTTTCCACACTCATTCTCCACGGGAGAGATGGTGTAATGCTCATGTGACAGAGGGAGAGCAGCAAGAGGCAGCTGGGAAGGCTGGGACGAGGCACAGCCTCACTGCCCCTCCATGCAGCAATCTCAGCTTCATCTCAGGGACTGCTGAACTGCAAAGCCAGAGAGCAAACAGGTGCCCCTGGGGAGCTAGGTGGGAATCAATGCATGGGGTTCCCACCTTACCAGCAGTGTGAGTCAGCTGTGACGCAGCCTTCCCAGCCATCCCACTGCAGCACAGCGCTGCAAGCAGAAAGAAGGGAACCTTGTGCAGAAAAAGCACACAGGCAGCCGGGTGGGAGCCTCACTCACTGCTTTCTGCCCGACAATTTGCCTGCAGGGCTGCAGAGGCTGAGTTTCTGCAGTTCCCTCCCAGGCTGGCTTGCTTTTAGGGTGAGAGAGGTGAGTAACGTATATCTGCAGAGGGGAGATAAGGTAATGGGGCACCTCGAATGCCTGGGATCGCATTAAAGCAAGGCTGGCTGGTGAGATCCTATCGTTGCACAGAAATATCTGCAACTTTATCCTCAGCTGAAACATGAACCAAAACAAATCAGGCGACCAGCACAGTGGGTTTGGGCTCGCTGGCACAGCATGGTGGGCAGGGAGGAGGGGAGGCACGGCCTTGGCAGAGCCAGCACAGCTGAGACAGCAACACAGAAGGATGCTGCTGCAGCGACAGGGAATGAGGGTGTCAATGTAGGAAAGAGAGACACCTTGTGAAGGGCAGCAGAAGGGCCTGCATCCAGGCTCACACACCAAGGACACTGGGAAGGGTGCTTAGCACAGAGAGCACCTGATAAATCAGCTAGCTTTCACCTGGCTCATGGGGGTGCCTCCATGGGGGACTCCTGTATGACACTGTGACCCCAGGGCAGTGCTGACAGATAACCCTGCAGCAGCAATCTGATTGCTAACACAGGGAGCAGAGCCCATCCCTAACATTTCTCACCCTGGGCTGATCCCTGAGCAGGGGCACAGCTGCTCAGCTCCCACCTCCCTGCTCCGGCTGTGGCAGAGGGAACCAACCAAACAGCAGGCATGAGCTGGCTGCCAGCCTGCTCTGTGGGAGCAGATGAAAGGCTTCTTTTCCCCTCCACCTGCAGCACACAGCCAGCCTGCTTCACGTGCATCTGCAGGAGCCAAGGATGCTGGGAGCAGGCTCACTCAGTACAGCTGGGCCATGGCTGATAGTGGGACCTCTGACCTCTCTCCAGTGTTTGCAGGTAATTGCATGCAGCTCCCCTCCTCGCCCTCCTGCAGAACTGTTCACCCGAGCTGGGAGGCAAATACAAAAAGCTTGCTGCTCTCAGGAAGCATGAATCTTACCTCTGCTGGCAGTCATGGCTTCAAAAAACAGTGAATGTCCTTCAAGGAGGAGGGATCTCGTGCTGTGCCCAGTAAACCAGTCACAGCAGCTGCACGGAGCCAGGGCTCATCCCTGCCAACACCAGGAACAACGTGCATGCAAACAAAGCTCAGGTTTCCAGTTCCTTTCGTGCTGCCCAAGACACATGCCCTGACTTACTTCCAAAGCCATCATGTGAAGCTTGTTCCTCTTGGGAGAGCACGAGGTAAGCAGGAGCACTGGGAGCAACGCCTGCCAACAAACACCATCCAGGGCAGCAGTGGCTGAGGGGAGAGGATCCAGGTCTGCAGGCTTCTTTCTGCAAGAGCAGAGACCGTTTTGGCTCCTGCAGCTCTGCTCCAAAAGGAAGCTCTTCAGGAGCATTTGGGAAGGAGGCTTTGCAGGCTAAAAAAGCACAACAGGCCAAGTACTGGAGCAGGGAGCAGTCAGCAGTGTCAGCACAAGGACCATCCCAAGCACAGCAGGGAGCTCAGAATTGCACATCACTTCAGGAACAGGGACTGACAGCTGCTAAGGGTTCACTGAGAGCAGCAATATTTGAAGAAATGAGCAAGTGTGGGGAGACGAGGCATCAGCATAGCAAAGTAACGGCTGCAAGAAAGCTTGCCATCTCCTCTCCACCCTCTAAACACCACACAGTGCTGGAGGGATGGCAGCCCAGCCCTAGCAGGGCAAGCAAGCCTCCAACACAGTGCAAATACAGATGGTGGAAAACATAATGCATCAGAGCAGCCAGCAAAACATGCTATCATCTAACACTTAGCTGTGATTGCTGTCTCTGGTTCCCCGCTGAGGATGATGGCCCACACACTGCCAGGGCAGCTCCTAGACATCAAATGCACGTTGGTCAACACACCTTGGGAAGAAGCCTGAGATAGTATGTTGTGCTTCTCAAGATGGGATGATTACCCAGGGCAAGAGCCTCACTTAAAGCAGATCTGCTGTTTCTGGACTCCACAGTTCCCTGCTCAGAGTTAGTTCAGGCTCTGCATCTTGCTGCAGTGGAGACAAGGAAGCCCCTTCGGGTGAAAGAGAGATCAGGAAGCCTTCAGATAACACACAGAGAGGATGTTAGTGCCTATTACCTGCAGCTGAAGATATTCTACCTGACTTATCCAGGGCAAATAAGGCTTGTCAAGAGCAACACACTCATTGAACTGCTGTATTGGTCAGTCTGCATTGACAGTGCTGTGTTATGAGAGGTAATCAAAGTGCTGTTGGAGAACTAACGTGTAACAGCTCCACTTGAACTGATGGGAAAAGGAGGCCAAGCACTGACAAGCCAGCCTCATCTACAGCAAGCAAGAACAGGGACTGACATACAGCTTAAACAACGTATTAATTAACACAATGAAGGAATGAAAAAAAGTTCAAGGGGCGAAAGCTGTTTCCCTGATAATTTATGAACATTCAGAATGTGACGCTCCTGCCCTTGATATCACCAGATAGATGGCACAGCAAAGGGGGGTGCACCCTTTGCATCAGGACATTAACTGGCCTACACTGATTTTAACAAAGGAGAGACAGCAGAAATTAAACAAAATCATGGGAGGAAGCAAACCAAAGTTGCCAGGGCTACCCTACCATGGGCCAGGTCAGACTCAGCACAGAGCTGAGGTACCACTGAGCCCCAGACAGCTCTGGGTTTCCCTGGGCAGATCCCAGGACAAGCTGTAGCGACCCAGCTAATGACTTGTATGGGATTACTCTGCAAATGCTGGCTCACAATAAATGGCTGTGCTTTGTGGAAACCTTTCTGAACCAGCTGCAGATGTCCTCAGGAGCCAAAGTGCTTAGCAAGATCAGCACGAACCTGGCACTAGAGGCTGCCTGTGAAAACAAGGCCCTAGCTGGTAGCACTAACCTTGAGGCAGAGCATGCTCCAGGAAGGAACATGGGGCCACCACCCCATTTTGAGCCTCTTCAGCAGCTCTAAGAAGGGTACACAGATGAACCATGGGTCAATGGGAAAGCAACCTGCAGGAAATTCCCATTTCGGTGAACTCTGAGAAAGAGGTTCTCTCATCCTTCATGCCTGACTGCCTTCCTGTAGCAGTGTTTTCCTGGGTTAGCAAATATCACAAACCCCAACCTCTGCAGGCAGATGGCTTTTTGCCTTATAGCAGCCCGCTAATAGGAAAGCAGTGGGGGACAGATGCTCCTGCCTTCCCACGTTAAGCCAGAGCAGCAGCTCCGAGCTGGCAGCAGCACTTGCTCACGTCGATGCCCAAAAGCCACGAAAGGCAGCAGGAGTTGTGGGGTAAGCATTGACATCCAGGCACCGTGCTCACAGCCAGCTGGAGCCTGCTCAGACCTGATGCTCCCAGGACCCTCCGTGCCCCTCCAGCAACCCAAGGCCTTCCAAGCACCAGCTGTACCTTGCACCCACGCGTGCTTCTATGCTTTGGCTAACAGAATAAATACAAACCAGCAAGCAGCAGCAAACTTCTTCCTCTCGATAGCTGCCGAGGGAAAACGCTCTTCATTTCAGCCCCTCTGCTGTTAATGTGAGGGCTAAGAGTTAAGCTGGCAGATGTCCTTGCTGGGCAGAAAGGAGCAGCAAGCAGTTCTAACAGAGCTCCTGGCTGGTAGAGGAAGCGCAGATGTATGTAAAGGAGTCAGAGCCCTTTTCATCTGCCTTCTTCAAAAGGGAAAAAGCCCATATGAATATACCTAACCAGAGCTAGAGCTTTTAACCCCTAAGGAAAGCCCTATTCACCTCTTTCAGCCAATTGCCCAGCATGGCAAGAACTGTTCCTCTGGAAATGGCAACGTTGGCTCATTGCTGTTTGAAGCCTTTCCTCCCACAGACAGCAAAGCCTCTCTGTTCCCATACATCCCCAAAGGGCAAGCGTGCAGCATGAATGCAACTCACAGCACCCAGCAGTGCCTGTGGGACCTCTCCTCCTCCCTATAGAGAAGTGGGGACTGAGCCCCTTTCTGACAGCAGCATGCCCACTGGTAAATAGCTTGCTCAGCCCTAACTTCGTCCCAGGGTAAGCCAGATTTCCAACAGCAGCATTTCCCTGCAGAAACAGTCCTGGGGTGGGGCGATGGGAAAGATGCTAGAGACAGAAATGGGGACCAACAACTTCAGGGGCAAAGTTGGGCAGCACTACGGCTGTGGACTTTTGCCTAAGCTGGTGAGAAAAGCAGTTTGTCAGAAGGCAGAACAGGCATTTGTGTGACAATTACTTGCAAGGTTTTCTGCTCTTGTTGTTTCTGTTTTGGTTTGGTTTTGTTTTGAAGTAATTGCTACACCTCTGAAGAACAACAGCCTCATCATGAGCCACGGTGATTTTCCCCTCAAGAAATCCTTGATGCTCACTGTTTCCACAGAGCTCTGCAGAGAGCCCTTCTCGCCTTACCAACTGGGGAGGAACGTGGCACGGCACTGCCCTCTTTGGGTAAAACCACCCACTGATCTCCACCACGTACAGTACAGGCATTGTGAATAGTTTGTCCTTTTCTTGTGTCCTGCTGGACACGAGCAGCTCTGCAGCAAGGGTGGCAGCAAGGAGATGCTCTCCTCCTCCTCCAATCCCAACCCCAAACCCGCTGCCATCCAAAGCCACTGCCGTGCTGCTGCCACGAGGCCCTGCTCCCCAGTGGGTTGCCTGGTAAATTGCAGAGCTGCTTCCATTTTCCCCCCTCTGTATGAAAAAAAGCTTAGTAAAATGACTGCAAAAAATATAGTGTAGAAAGAACATCCTGGAGCAGCATGGAAACCAAGAGTGGAGGATGGAAAGAAGAACAGCAGGTGATGTGGTTACTGCAGATCTTACCTTCACATGACCACACAGACGAGGATGCATTAACAGTGGTAGGCAATTGTAAATCCAGCACATCCTTATCTGGAAACACAGGATTTCTCTAGATAACTGTGAAAGAGAAAAACAAAAAAAAATACAGAAGAAAACACTGAAAGAATTCCCTCAAAACCTGATAAAAATGCCCAGGGAAGAAGAAATCCATGCACATCCCACACATAAGCATGCAGCACATGGAGGAAGTGGCACTGCTGCAGCTGGTGCCTGGCTCTGTTGCACCATTCCCAAATGGTTCCCAGTAGGAACAAGTGGGTTGGTAAAAGCAGCCATTCGGCAGCATCTCCTCTGGGTGAAAGGAAGAGGCAGGCATTCTTCCAAACTGGGAGCTCATGGGTGTAACACAGGCTCTATTTCCCAGCACTTTACGTGCACGGTACGAGGACGTGCATCCACATCCATATAGGATGCAGAACAATGCCCCTGCAATTTCAGTCCAACTTCCAGGCAGATAATAATAGTCCAGCCATGTTCAGCTCTAGCCCCACTCAACAGCAGGTCTCGCCAAGCTTTACAAAGGGAGAGCCGCGTGCCTTTGAGCTGTGCTTGGATAGAGCCTATTTTTGGGCTCTTTGCTGGCACACCACCCTGCTGTAAGCGATCACCTCTGAGGTTAATTAGACGAAATGCTCCAGCGAGGTCTCAGGAGGAGCAAGATTTCCTTTTCTCCACGTTAAGCCCTTTTACCAACACTTCAATAGATGTTGACATCGCTCTGCCCCTACCGCGCTGCCTATTGCACTGCTGATGATAACAGCAGCTCCACTGCTGGGGATTAGGGGCAAGCAAACAACAGAGAAAGAAATAAGAGCAGAACAAGTTTAGAAATTGTCGGCTACAACAGCAGACCCAGAAGACACAACTGTGCTTGTCCCTGCTGCAATCAAACCCAGCACAGCATCAGAGCCAGCTCAGCACTCACAGCCCCGTGAGCTCCACAAGGGCTGGGGATGGCTGGGAGCTCCAGGAGCATGGAGTGAGGAAAGGACAGCACTCTCACTTTAACTCAACATGACCAGCCGCTCGCAAAAACAGCTTGGCTTCCCCGTCCCTGAACCTTGCAGGTGTTTGTTTAACAGTCTGCATAAATTGAGGCTAATCGCAGCTCCGCCAGCTGCCAAGGAGCCCAGCAGCCTGGAGGACGCGGCCCCGTTATCTCAGTGCAAGCTGAGCGAGCTGCTCCCGAGGGGACAGCTAATCTGCTCGGCCCTAACGAAGCAGCCGGCCTCTCACGCCCGCAGCCTCAGCGGGGGGAAGCAGAGGATGGAGGCTGAATGGGATTAGTGCCGAGATGGAGGGGTGAGGAGCCTCTCGCTGCTGCTGCCAGGGACGCATCTCCGCCGTCCCCTTTGCGCTACGGGCTGGGCTGGAGGCCACAGCTGGTCTCCCTAGGTCTGCTATGTACATAAAGGCATGAATAATAGATCTAACAAGCCAACAAAAGCACTTTATCTAAAGCATGCTTCTGTCAGAAAGCCAGGCTTCTCCAGTACGTGGGATGGTTTCCAGACAGTGCTTTTTTCCTAACAGCATGGGGGGTTTCCTGGCTTTGCTGCACCCTCCATGACTTAGCCAGGGCTTGGCAAAATAGCAGACCCCCTGAACACCTTTCAGTTCACCTCAGAGACCTGGCAGGATGGGGCAGCATCCCTTGAGCCAGCTCCATGTGCCACCTGCAGCCCCGACAGAACCCTCACATGCTGTGGGGAAGAGATGGTTGGCTTCCCTTCCTGTTAAACAAGAAGCAAGGGCGCTTCCTTACATCCTGAAGGAGGGATCATCTGTATCAGTGAAATCTGCTTCCCCATCCATCCATACGTCCAGCAGCAGAAAGGCTGGAGTAAGGGACTCGTGCTCTCATGCAGCTCCCCAGCAGTTGGGCAGTGTTCCTGCTGCCAGCCAGCCTGTGTTCTCTGAGGGCTGCCAGGGTTAGAGTGCTGTGCAGTGACTCTCTACGGCTTGGGCTGTCCCCTCCCTGTTTGCTTTATGGAAATGCTTAATAAGATCTTGACACGAGCAGAGGAAATTGCATTCCTTTATCTTGGCAGTGCATGGCCCAGGCTAAGGCAGGAAGAAGAACACAAGCAACACCCAGAATACAATTCTCCTCTCGACAGCGGAGGTCAGCACTGAAAAAGCCAGCAGCTCCTTTGCCCCTCAGCTCTGTTTCATTTGCATTCCAATTTCTGGAGCTGCCAAGCTCAACTGCTGAACATCAGCCCCGCAAAGGCCAGGCAACGCTCCGGGCCAGATTCTTGCTCCACAGGGCAGCCACAGAGAGAAGTGATTCCTCACAACCCATGGTCCCCATGTCACGAGGCACAACCAGATGCACCAGGAGGAGTTCCAGCTCAGGGAGGGAAGGCAGGAGCCCTCAGGAAGCAATCTGGCATGCCCAACCTGGGCACAAGCAGGTCACAGTTCTCTGCCAATACCTGGACCAGAGCAATGCCTCCTCTTTCCCATTCAAAAGGAAGCAACAAGCAAGCAGCAGTCCAAACTCAGTTTTTAGGCACTTGGAAAGCCAGGGCTCCCACCTACACTGCTCCTTCCTCAGCTGCCAGTAAGCTCCCAGAAATTAGGCTGAATCTCCCTACAGTACAGAGTTGTCTGCAGCATCAGATCAAGGCCCCAGCAAGGGCCTGGGTAACAAACGGCCCAGCAGCACAGCAGATGGCCAAGAAATCCAGCCTGAACACCCACCCGTTCCTGGGAGCACTGAATGCTGCCTGTGCCTACAGACAGGCATGACAGATCAAACCCAACTGGAGGCAATGGTGAAATCCACTGTTTAGAACAACTGCTTTATTAGCAGACTGGGCTGGGTAAGAGAGACCATAGAAGGGCCAGTGCTGCGTGAAAGGTTGCAGCAGCTCTTCCAGCCTGACCAAGGCAAGGATCTCATCACAGGTCCTGTGCAGACTCACTCACCCTGAGCCCTGTGCAAGAGGAACAGGAGCAGCTCCACTGTGCCCTTTCCAAGCTGTCACTGGGAAGCATAAGGTGCAGCTAAAGCTTTGATACTTGGATGAGAGACTTTTTTTGGCCACCGATCAGTCTCTGATTTCTTTCCCTGAAGAGCCATCTGGGACATTCTCCTGAAGATGCAGCTAGTCTAGAAGGCAAAATAGAGTCCGTCAGTAGTGCAGGAAACAGGCAGAAGCAAGCAGGCTGTCAGAGCAAGGAGTGCTTCTCCATCCACAAATGCAGGAAGCTGCTCTCCTCTCCTCACCACTTCCCAGCCTCAGCAGACTTGGGCTGTCAGAAATGAGATAAAATAGGACAGGGGATCTCAGCAGTTGAAATCTCTCCTGTGTTTGTCTGGATACCCTCCAAGAACTCATCCAAGACGCTGACAGCTGAGGGCTGAGGATTACAGTGTGAGCAGGGACGGCTCTGCTGCACAGCCCACCTCACCCTGGAGGAGCTGGCATCTCAAAGGTAGATGGAACAGTGTGTTTCGAAGGAATTGCACACAGAACTCAGCATGTCAAAGCTTCAGTACAGCATCTCTGCAGCTCAGAGCAACAGCTCCTGCCAGAGAAAAAAAAAGCCATGAGCCATCATGCTGCAAAGATGCCATCCCCTCTGCTGGCAGCTCGAAGGACAAGCACGTACTGCCTCATTTTCTTCTGGCCCCATTGATTTTCTGCAGCTCCATCTCCAGGAGCACTGCAGTTTGTTTGGCCTTGCAGGAATGCTGGGGCAGGATGAGGATGCCTACAGATCATGCTGGGGGCAGACATAGCAGAAAGTATCACAGGACAGCTGGATTAAGACAAAAGAGGGAACAGGCACAGCCAGGC